CGTCTTGATAGAAAAAAAAAAAAAAAAAAAAAAAGACCGATCATGCCATGGGGTCGAACCATAGATGTTGCAGCTCTGTTTGTTGTCTTTCTTTTAATTGAATTACGTAGAGCAGTGAAAACCGGAGATGTATACTTGGCTTATCCCCTCAGTTATGAAAACAAAACCGTTACGCAATCGTGACATTGGGTTTGTATTGTGAGAGGATTGTCAATGCTGGTTGGTCTTGTAATATATACCACTAAAACAGAAACATTTTATTTAATGAATATTTTTATATTTTTTAATTATATTTTTATTTTTGTAAAAAAAAAAATTTTTATTAATGGCAATTTGGTTTTTTTATGGACCTAAAAAATATATATTAGTGGGTTTCATTAGTGGTCAAATTTAACTTTTAATTATTTCTAAAGTTTCTTTTAAAAATAAACCCTACTGCTTTAATTGGTGTAGTTAGAGCTCGAAATTTTGATATTAGCCGCGAGTCCCACCCGTTTGATCCGCCACAGAACAGATCGATTTGAAAAAATTAAGTTACATGTGCAGGTGCAGATCAAGTATATTTTATTCGGGAGGGGTGTAGATTATTCTAATTTCAATTGTGGGTACCTCGTAATCCGCAGAAATATAATTTTCTTTTTAAGTTTATTTTTCAAAAATATACTGAATTTCCTTAAAATATTTTTTTAAGTATTAAAAAATTAATTAAAATATACTATTTAATATTATCTTTTAGAAAAATTAAAAAAAATATTTTTATTATTTAATAATTATTCACGGGTCTCGTGGCTTACCGCAAAATTAAGTGGAATGTACGCAGATAAAATATATTTTCTTTGCGGGTTGGGCAGGCCGAGTTTGACCCGCTTCCCAGTACCAGACGTAGTTAGTTGATATTATTTTTCAAAATAAAACTATATAATTACATATAATACATTTACTTAGATATTGATGATAATAATAAATTAAAATATACATTAATTTTTAAAAGTTATATAAATAGTGACATTTTATATCATCAAAACAAAAAACTTATCGATTCATCTGTAGATAAAACAATAAAATGGTATCTGCGTTCTTTAAGCGCGGATCAAAAATCTAATTACCGTTTAAAAATTGAACTTTTGAAGTTAACTGATTAAATACATGAGATTATATTTAAGAGGTTATAGTAAATAACTATATTTGATCTAGTGACTTCATTTACCAGTTAGGTTTTAGTGAATCCTCGGTCCAGTTTAGTAGGTTAAGGCCTAATTAGTGAACCGTGAACATTTTTGATATTTTAGATTCTTATGCCACATGACAGATCCACTGTTCAATTAGTGAGCTGTTTCGCAATTTTACAAAAGAATACGTGAAGAATCTGTCTATTGGGAGTTCCACTGTCCACATGGCAGTAGAAACAAAAACCAAAACGTCCATCAATATCCTTGGCTTCAAGAAATTCTGATATTAGCTAGTTTATGTGTGTTAGATGGTATGGATGAACTAGTTGAATTTTATATCAGTTTTATGTTATTTCGTAGAACATCAACGCCTCACATGTGGTTTTAAACAATATTAAGTTGAAACTAATACTCTATGTTTCGAATTAGTTGTTATTCTTCAAAAAAATTTTGTTTTAAAATAAGTGTCATTTTAGAGTTTAAAGATAAAATTTATTAGGTTTATATAATATTCTATTTTTTATTGATTTAAAAATGGTTAGGTGTATAGGTAATTATGTTTTTATAATGAAAATATGTTAAATTAAATAGTTTTTTAATCTGTATACAAAAACCTAGAATGATAATTAAAGTGAAATGGAATAAATAGTAATTAGGTAATTTAAAATATCAATATACTAACGAAGGGATAGTTAAAAATTTGCAGTATTTTTGATATTTTTTTTTTCATTTTGGATATCAGTGAGAAAATATTTCAAAATTTTAAATATATTTGTTATAATATTAATACTTTTTACAAAAAAAATTACTATCTTTTATGAGTTAATTTTCATTGGGTTTGAGTAAAACAAAAGGAAGAAAATGCACTAAAAGAAGAAATACATTCGGAAAGAAAGAGTGGTGGTATAGTAAAGTGTTTGCAAGATATCAGATATGGTTGACACATCTATGACGAGTCACTAAACGGAAGTTTCTTAAATTTGGTCAATAATACTACAAATTTTAGCACTTCGAGGTTTGGATAATTTGGAAAGGATATCTTGACTAGATGGTGATGTTGTTTGATTACGTATCACGACAAATCAAGAATATTTAAATGATTCATGCATCTACAAGAATTATAATTTCATTTAATAAGAAAATAACTTATAATTAATGATTGTTTATACTAAAGAAAATAAACAACATTAGTTTTAAAAGTATTAAAACTGCATATTATTAATTCGGTTTATAGTATTCCTTTTAATATTTTCTATTTTTATTATAGTTCAGATTGTAAACATTATATTTAGGTTATAGATAAATAGTCATATCCAATTTAAGTTGGATAAAATTGATCTATTTCATCCAGCTTATTTTGTTTTAAGTATATATATAGACACATACATGTCTTCTTTTAACTTGCACAAACGTTTCTACAATCTTACATTCAATCCCCAGAAAACTAAAACCAACAAAACATGATGCAGCGAGTGTTCACCTTTGGAAAGGGAAGAAGCGAAGGCAACAAGGGCATGAAGTCTTTGGTATGTATTATCATATACATTGTTAATAGTTGTTCTGTTTTTCAATTTTTTCTTAACAAAATGTTTTTTTTTTGTATGAAGTTGGGAGGTAAAGGAGCGAACCTGGCGGAGATGGCCAGCATAGGCTTATCGGTGCCGCCGGGGCTAACAATATCCACGGAGGCTTGTCAGCAATACCAGGTCGCTGGAAAGAAGTTACCAGAAGGTTTATGGGAAGAGATTTTAGAAGGTCTTAGCTTCATTGAAAGTGACATTGGAGCTTCCCTCGCCGATCCCTCCAAGCCACTCCTCCTCTCCGTTCGCTCCGGCGCGGCCGTAAGTAAAAATATCTATAGTTTTGTTCTTGGCGTAATAACGTTTTATAAAACTATAAATAGTAAAAATCATCATTTGGATAAACGGATGAGATTTTTCCAAAATTTTATCATTTTATTGGTTATGTAACATAGTGATTTGTATTAGTTGTATGGTAATAATTTAATAGATTATTTCATCCTTTTCATTATAAATGTCACTATACAGCTGTGCACACGGATTAAGCAAATAATTAATTTTACATATTTTTTATATAAAAACATAATTATCTATATACTTAACCATATTTTAACCAATAGAAAAATTAAGTATATAATAAAATTAAGAAATTTTGCACTGAAAACCGAAAACGACACTTATTTTGTAACACAAAAAATTCTCTACAACGACACTTAATATGAAACGGAAGGAGTAATGTTTTACAAAACTTTTGTGTGTATATCTTTTGTGTGTGTCATGAATGTATTGAAAATGTCAAAACATTGACTTGACTTCATTGTAGATCTCAATGCCTGGTATGATGGACACTGTACTTAACCTAGGCTTAAACGACGAAGTTGTCGTGGGTTTAGCAGCCAAAAGTGGAGAGCGTTTTGCTTACGATTCTTTCAGGCGGTTTCTTGATATGTTCGGTGACGTGGTAAGTCCAGTCCTCTGTTTTTTATACAGATTGAGATAACTTGTACGACAAGAAAACTCTCTGACCACCTTCTCATTTGCTTTCTTGGTGTCAATAAAAGGTGATGGGGATTCCACACGCCAAGTTTGAAGAGAAGTTAGAGAGGATGAAAGAGAGCAAAGGAGTAAAAAACGACACTGAGTTAAACGCGGATGATCTCAAAGAATTGGTTGAGCAGTACAAGAGTGTTTACTTGCAGGTCAAGGGTCAAGAGTTTCCTTCAGGTTTAATTTTTTTTTTTAATTCTTTATTTAAGTAACAATATTCAGGTTTTGGTTCCATAACATGAAGGGGTTAAATGCAGATCCGAAAAAGCAACTAGAGCTAGCGATTGAAGCTGTGTTTGATTCTTGGGATAGTCCAAGAGCCAACAAGTACAGAAGCATTAACCAGATCACTGGACTTAAAGGAACCGCGGTGAACATTCAATGTATGGTGTTTGGAAACATGGGGGACACTTCAGGGACTGGTGTTCTCTTCACCAGGAACCCTAGCACCGGAGAGAAGAAGCTCTACGGAGAGTTTCTTGTCAATGCTCAGGGAGAGGATGTGGTTGCAGGGATAAGAACACCAGAAGATTTGGATACAATGAAGAGATTAATGCCCCAGGCTTATGCGGAACTTGTAGAGAATTGTGACATCTTAGAAGCACATTACAAAGACATGATGGTTAGTACACATAAAATTCTTATAGTACTCATCAAGAAGACAAGGCAACAAACTTGGATTTGAACAATGATCTCAAACGTGTGTTGCAGGACATCGAATTCACGGTCCAAGAAGAGAGATTGTGGATGCTGCAATGCAGAGCTGGTAAGAGAACAGGTAAAGGTGCGGTGAAAATAGCAGTTGATATGGTGAGTGAAGGGCTTGTAGATAAATCTACTGCAATCAAAATGGTGGAGCCTCAACATCTTGATCAACTTCTTCACCCACAGGTTCATATAATAGACTCAAAATGAACCAATAGGGTTTTGCAATTTTAGGGTTTAAGGAACAAAACAGAGAATAATGGAAGTTTTTTTTTTGATGGGTTTAGTTTCATGATCCGGCGGGGTACCGTGAGAAAGTGGTGGCGAAAGGTTTACCGGCGTCTCCAGGAGCGGCGGTTGGTCAAGTTGTGTTCACGGCGGAGGAAGCTGAAGCTTGGCATGCTCAGGGAAAGAACGTGATCTTGGTTCGAACGGAGACAAGTCCTGAAGATGTTGGAGGTATGCACGCAGCTGAAGGTATATTAACGGCGCGTGGAGGCATGACGTCACACGCGGCGGTTGTTGCTCGTGGCTGGGGGAAGTGCTGCATCGCTGGTTGCTCAGAGATTCGTGTCGACGAGAACCATAAGGTTTTTTAATTGTCTATACACTTCATGTTTTGAAAATATGAAGGAAGCTTGTTTCTCAAGTTAGGGTTTTGTGAAATATTTTCAGGTTCTATTGATTGGAGATTTGACTATAAATGAAGGTGAATGGATCTCGATGAACGGAACAACTGGTGAAGTTATATTAGGGAAACAAGCATTGGCTCCTCCAGCTTTGAGTGCAGATTTAGAGACTTTCATGTCTTGGGCTGATGCAGTTAGACGTCTCAAGGTATGTATAAGTTTCTTTAACTTAACTTGTTGAACACTCTTTCAAGCTCTTATGTTCTTTGTTGATCAATAAAAGGTTATGGCTAACGCGGATACACCTGAAGACGCGACTGCAGCTAGGAAAAACGGTGCTGAAGGGATCGGTCTTTGTAGAACAGAGCATATGGTAACTAACTTCTTCTCTGTTCTGGTTCCCACATGTTTTGTTATGTTTGTGTCCAAAAATCTTGAATGTTGTGTTTGGTATAGTTCTTTGGCGCAGATAGGATAAAAGCAGTGAGAAAGATGATAATGGCGGTGACAACTGAGCAAAGGAAAGCTTCTCTAGACGTCTTGCTTCCTTACCAACGTTCTGATTTCGAAGGGATCTTCCGTGCAATGGATGGTTTACCAGTAACAATCCGTTTGTTAGACCCTCCGCTTCACGAGTTTCTCCCTGAAGGTGATTTGGACAACATAGTACATGAGTTAGCTGAAGAAACAGGAATGAAAGAAGATGTCATCTTGTCACAGATTGAGAAACTCTCTGAAGTCAACCCTATGCTTGGTTTCCGCGGTTGCAGGTTCTCTTCTGCTCTTTCTCTCCTGCACATGACTTCATTACAGAACAAGTGTTCAGTTAAATTTGTATATTACAGGCTTGGAATATCATATCCTGAGTTAACGGAGATGCAAGCACGTGCGATATTTGAAGCAGCAGCGTCAATGCAAGACCAAGGTGTTACTGTTTTGCCTGAGATTATGGTTCCACTTGTAGGAACTCCTCAGGTATGTAAACACATATATATACTCTTGCAAACATTATCAAGAAAAGGTTAAAACATTTACACAAGAAAGGTGGTAATGACAGGAATTGGGTCACCAAGTTGATGTAATCCGGAAAGTTGCAAAGAAAGTATTTGCTGAGAAGGGGCATACCGTGACCTACAAGGTTGGGACAATGATCGAGATCCCTAGAGCTGCGCTCATTGCAGATGAGGTAAATGTTGTAGTAATGTATATACTGTGTAGACACTAACCACACATGAAGTTGCTAAACTAGAAACCATTTATTTGCTTAACAGATTGCGGAACAAGCAGAGTTTTTCTCGTTTGGGACAAACGACTTGACGCAGATGACGTTTGGTTACAGTAGAGATGATGTTGCCAAGTTTCTACCAATGTACATCGCCAAAGGGATTCTACAGCACGACCCTTTTGAGGTATGCAGAGAAAAATAAGATACTCCATGTATTCTCCAAAACATAGAAACTTAGATGGTTAATGTTTTGTTTTGAATCAGGTTCTTGATCAGAAGGGTGTGGGACAATTGGTCAAGATGGCGACAGAAAGAGGACGAGCGGCTAGGCCTAACCTCAAGGTACGTTTGTTTGTGAAACAAACAAAAAAACGAATCACAAAAGTAGAATTAAGAATTTGGGATTGAATTGTGAGTGGAAAATGAACAGGTTGGGGTATGTGGAGAACATGGAGGAGAGCCATCATCTGTTGCATTCTTTGCTGAAGCAGGACTTGACTATGTTTCTTGTTCTCCTTTCAGGTTTATATTCTAGTCACTGCTCAATCAAATTCTAATCATCTTATAAAAGACAATTTGGGATTTGATGTCAATGTTGTTGTTGCAGGGTTCCCATTGCAAGGCTAGCAGCTGCTCAAGTTGTTGTTGCATGATGAAAAACTGAAGGCATTATTATTATTCTTATTCTGTTAATAAGAAATCTTTGGTTTTATTGTTGTTAAAGAAAATGAACAGAACCAAAGTTATTAGTACTTTCTTTTTAAAAGAAAGAATATGCAGAAGCTTCATGTGTTCACTGAAGATGTTAATAAAATACAAAGAATATTTCTGGAGATAACAAAGGAAGTTGATAATTGTTTATAAGAAAATGTTAACACTTATGGTGGAAATGTGTAAAAGGAAAGATTAATGTAAAGACAAAGCAAAGAGATACTACTATCGCCTTAAACCAACTGCAAACATGTTCTCATACTCATACAACAACACAAGAGCCAAGAGATATTATATCAGCACCTTAAACCATCAGCTATCTCTACTTGCAAAACAAAGATTAGAGGCTCTCTGTTAACTAAGACTTTGTTCCTTACTCAAAGACGACTATTCGTTAAGGAACAAACCATTCAAAAGCTCGGTGGATGAACTTTCGTTTCCGCCGTTTTCATCAAAGAACCCATTTTCAGCACTTTCTTTCCTCAGCTTCCGCTCTTCAACGATGGATTCCTCTGTACCAGCACAGAAATTACGTCGTCCTTGCCTAGCTGGTTTATCAGCCACTATAAACTTACTTCCATCTCGGACACGTTCAGAAAATCCCGCCCAAACTGTAACAAGAACAAGGATACTTCTTGTTTTAAGTAACGCAACAACACTAACTATCATATTTCCTTACGATATATGACAACTAAGTCACACATTTGATGGTTTTTCCATAGAGTTATCAACACTAGCTACTCTCCATAATCTTGCTTTCCAATTTCTAAAGGAAAAAGAGAAGAAAAATACCTCCAAAATGATGCAAGACAATAGAAGCCGCAACAGTAACATTGAGCGAGGCAGTGCCACAGCCATACTGAGGAATGTATACAAAGAAATCACATATCTCATACTCTTTCGCAGATAATCCTGATCCCTGCACAATCCCAAACTCTATCCATTTAGTAATTATTACTAAAATCTTGAACGCAGGGAGTAACATTGCTTACAGCAAAAGTTTGGACACATTAAACTAACTCTTTTACTCTTATGTCTTTAGGACTTTGTTCCATATTCAAATACCATGATCTAAGAATCATAGTAAACAAAGTGACCCAGCACAGTATGATCTCAGACTCATAGCAAAGCAAACAAAGCACAAAATGATCTCAGACTCACAGCAAACAAAGTAACCAGCATAGTATGATCTCAGACTCATAACAAACAAAGCACAGTATGATCGCAAACAAAGTAACCAGCAAAGTATGATCTCAGACTAATAGCAAACAAAGCACCCAGCAAAGTATGATCTTNCCCAGCACAGTATGATCTCAGACTCATAGCAAAGCAAACAAAGCACAAAATGATCTCAGACTCACAGCAAACAAAGTAACCAGCATAGTATGATCTCAGACTCATAACAAACAAAGCACAGTATGATCGCAAACAAAGTAACCAGCAAAGTATGATCTCAGACTAATAGCAAACAAAGCACCCAGCAAAGTATGATCTTAGCAAACAAAGTACCCAGCACAGTATAGTCTCAGACGCACAGAAAACAAAGTACACAAGGAGGACTCTATATTCTAAAGTCGCAAACTTTATCAAATTGCTGTATTCAAAGTATAAGTCTTTTAATTGGTTTATTTGAATTAATTACCTCATTACCAAGAAGAAAGGCTGTGTTTCTTTTAAAAGGATGCTCATTGACCTGAGAAGCTCCATCTGCAATCTCAACGCCGCATATATCACACTCTCTCTCCTCCTAATCCCAAACACACAAAAATAAAAAAGACAGCACACATGACTTCAGAGAGTCCGGTAATGATTTAAGATCCATATTAATAAAGTTCGTAACTTTATTAGTTGGATCAGACCTTGAGGTAGTTGCGAGCTTCTATAAGGGAGTGGAAGTGACGGAAACGGACGTGAGAAGCGGAACCGTGGCTTCCGAAGGCGTTGAAGTCACGGCGGCCGACGAGGATTAGCTCCGTTACACCAAAAGCAGTCGCGCTTCGAGCTAGTGTTCCTACGTTGTGTCGCTTTGCTATGTTGTGAACGACCACGTAGCTCTCGTATCCCGTCATCGTCCTCCTCCTCTTCTTCTTCCTCTGCTTCTTTTTGTGAGGGTTTTTCTTCAGGCTTGAAACCAAAAAATAAGAACCGTCACAGAGAACCGGAATTAATCTATTTGGTTATAAATTAACCGGTTTTGTGGTAATTAGTAAATTTCTTGATCATAGATTGATGATGATGAATAATAAGATCGGTTTAAAGTTTGTGTTGTAAATCCAAAACTAAACTCCAATTAGACAAAAGATTTAGAGAGCAAAATGGATAACATCCGGAATTGTGATATATTAAACAGTTTAAGAGAATTGATTTGATTTATCTATGTAACTAAAGTTGAATCTTTTCGGTTACACATCCGTTTATAATTCTAGTGTTAAATGTGGTTAGGAGAATGGTGAAAAAATAGATGATCTATCGGGAAGTGATTCGCGTTACCATACAAGTGAAACCAAAACTTAACATATTACCGTCGGATAAAATGGGTCTATAGGCCGAGTGAGCGAGACGTGGATGATCCATTAGTAGTGGACATATATATCGTTATAAAAACTTTGATTTAGGCTAATACTCTTTTTAGAGTTTGTTTATTGGTTGTGTGAATACATAAATTACAATTTCAAATTATTAAGAAATTTTCTGATCCTTCTTGTAAATTATTCTGAATAAACCGGTTTTGTAATGATAGATATGAAACTACAATTCAGCAATAAGACTTGAAACCATCACCTCTCGTCAAGAAATTATTCTGAATATTGTAGAAAAGCATTACAACAAAAGCCTTTGGATTAGCTTAATAAGCTTTTCAAGATTACAAAAAATACAATGGGATGAAGAACAATTTTTTTTTCTTTTGGACAAAGAAAGCCATGAAGAAAAAGAAATGCGAGATTCTCTCTCTAAATCTTTTCAACCCTGAAGGAATCCATAACTCTTCTAAGATCTTTTTCCTCTTCCTGGAAAACTTTCTCAGGTGTTTGGAGTCTCAGTGAATAGAGTCTATTGTTCTCAACTCCTAGGACAGCGAGGTAACGCCTGTCCCATTCCAAACGAGCCACTCTATCTTGCGGCATCACTGCCAGCTCGTTGTTGTTCGCGTATGACTTTATGTTCACCTGTTCCAACCCTCAAAATATTCAGTTATGCAATCTAATAGCATACAATAATATCTCAATTTTTCAAATGAATCCAAGATGAAAACATGTTGTTGCAACCACAAACTCTAATATGATTGCTCAAGAATATAATTTCTTGCAACTCTGAAACAATGTCGTTGGCAAGACAAGTTTGATCAAAGAAATCTATTCTTATGATTGATCAAGACAATGTAGCAACACTAAGATTTTTTTTTGGTAAGATGTAGCAACACTAAGATTGGTTAAGAGAAAAATCGTTTTCTTATGTAACTCTAGCTCAACAAGACAAATGTAGTGGCCCCCTGCTATGTCCAAATTCACCTATAGCTTCACACTTTGTCTCAACAATAATCACCAAAACACCTATAATTAAAGCTCAACTATCAATACAATCTAATCCGTCACATCTTGTTGTTGCTCATAACTTAATATTTGAATTTAACTAAACAAACACAACATATAATTAGTATGCAATTTGGTGAACTGACTTTGGCATTACCTCAACTTGGTAATAGAGTTTACCATCATCTGCAACTCTTGAGGAAGTTGTAAGGATGTTGGCCTCACGCTTGACACCGAGTCTAGTGGACATAAACTCAGTCAAGTACTGTCTAAGTACTCTCTTCCCTGCTTCTTCAGGTGACCCCAAGTCCTCAAGTGACTTGTATTTCGAGGAAGAAGGCGAAGAAAACTCGACAGAGAGGTTCTCGTCGAGGACAATAGGGTCTCTAAAGAAGATGTCAGCGCCAGCTCCTCGGACTTGGATCCAATTCTGAGGGTACTTGAAAGAGTATCCATCAAATGTATCAATGTACTCTCTGAAGACTGGAGTCAAAGCAAAAGAGGGTGCAAGATTGGCTTCTGAAAGTATTAAACCAGACATGAGCAGTCCACCCATCATCATGCTCCTCCTCCTCCCAACTGCACAAACCTTAAGTAAACAGTGTCAATGTAAACAATCATCAACACTATCATAGTTTCAACATATATTCATACAAAGATGCAACATTGCTCATATTGTCAAAAGAGAGATAAGATGCTTAGCCAGGGGCCAATGAAAGTGATGAATTTTTACCTGTTTGGCATCGGTTAACGAGTTTTTGGGAGGTGGAGATTCCGGTTTAGAGGACTTGGGAGATTGGGAAGAGATGGGTCTGAAGAAAGACGAAGACTTTGAAGTGGGTTTAGTGAGAGGAGGGGAGATAGAACGAGGAGAGAGAAGGGTCTCCATGTGAGGAGCAGAAGAGAAAGAAAGTTGTGTGCTTTTTTCTCAGAGGCAAATTTTTGTGGATAATGTTTTTCTCCTTCTCAAAGGCCAACTCTTTATATTTATGTTGTGTCTTTTTATATTTATGTTCTTTTTTCTTTCAAAAAATCAACTTAAAATTCAAACGTTTTAGTACTACAAAGCATGTTTATTTGGGGTCTATGGTCGGATAATAGCGAAGCTAAGTCATCAATAAAAATTGAGATTTGGTTTTGGATAAGTAAATCAAAACTAGCAACAACACTACAACAAAATTTTGGATTTCAACTTTTAACCCTTAAAACATTTCAACAAGATAAAACCAGTGAAAAAGGGAGGATCAGGCCCAAGCATGACCATGAGTCCCATCCTCTAATCTCTTCTGTTTCTTCTTCCTCTTCCTCTCTGTTTTCGTATCCAACCGTGCTTCCATGCGTTTCGCTTGCTGTGATCTTATCTCCATTAGCTTCGCCTTGGCGTCTCTGAAAGGAGCATCAGATCTTGATGCCATCATTTGCTGTACAAAAGATACAAAACCACATGTTCATAATGTTTATCTCAAAATCGGTGTTCTTAATTGAATGGTTAGTAAATTTACCTTAAGATGATCCATGGCAGCCAAATTGTAACCGATTGTATCTTTGGATTCCTGGTAACAAAGATTCAAATATTAGTTGACTATATTTTCTACTTTTATTTTATATTTGTCACAAGATAAATTTTACCTTGACTTTTGCGTGAAGAATATCCCTGAGAACACTTAATATTGGTCGTGCAGCTGGAGTCGTTACCAACTGATTGTGATGTGTCTGTAATACAATCGTTGCAATCCTGCAAACTAGCTCTACCTGCATTGATTTAACATCAACAGTTTCAGAACCATAAAAGCTTCGATGATTGGGATCAGATTTAACTATATAACCTATTAGTCTAGTACACACACATACATCACGTACATAAGCAGTCCCATGTGTGAACGGGCATATGTAATTAGAGACTTAGGACAAGCTTTTATGATTCAAGGACTTCAGAGCTTAACTTATTGAATCTAAGGATACATTGAGAGATGCTGTTGATGAGAAATAGAGAAGTAGAAAGTCACCTTCTCAGGAATCAAACTCCAGCTTTCCATGTAGGAAAGAAGCTTTAAAGCATCTGAGAATGGTAGAGGCTACACAAAAAACAGAGAAGGTAAGGATTTAGCAGCCAAGTAGCTAGCTTTTTCTGAACCTTTCTAAACAAGAATTTGAATGAAAGGCCAGTTGATTTTTATTTGGGAGAAAAGCAACTAACCAGTAAGATGTGTTCAAGATCGTTTGTTTTTTCTTTAGAGATGGTTTTAAGAACAAACTCAGATGGAGAAAGCCCCAGCATCACTACATTTGGAGCGAGATCAGGAACCTTTCCCCTTGTTTTCTCCTCCTGAAAATCATGATGCAACCAACACACATAACAAAGTTAAACAGCAAATACTAAAAATAATGTTGTAGGAAAAGGCTTCCATCAGAATTAATGGCTACGCTGGGGGATGAACCTAGCCCAAGCGTGCTTAGGAACAAATGGGAGATGCACATAGATTCATCATATGTAGATAAGCAAGCTCATAATTCTCTCACCTCATATTCAGCAAGACGGTTCTTTTCAATTTCTGCCATTTCTAGAGCTTCAATGATTGAATCAGCAGCTGATAGGACATCTACTGTTGTCTTCTTAGCTAAACCTGCAACACCTTCCTCAATGATTTCATCCTGGGATCCATGCCTGTTCTCCGCTGAGTTATCGATCTCAGACTCAAACAGCTCTTCCAACCTCTTTTCCTTTTCCTCCTGAGAATTTACAGGAAAACAACAATTTGCTCAATTTTCACCTGTTCTTCCTTTCTGCTTCTATCATATTTCTGACTCTGTCTCTTTATGCAAAATTTACTGGATCAACTTCAAGCAGTCAGTCATTACCTCGAGGAAGAAAGGTTCTTCAGTACGATCCCAGCGTCGAATGGAGCGGTCATGAGATCCTGTGACGAGAAAATCACCACGATTGCTGACAGCAAAGCACCAAATCTCTGCGTGATGTCCACCAAGTGTTAACAGCAGCTCAAACTTGTCTGCATCCCAATACTTCACAAGTCGGTCTTTCCCAATGCTGAACATGTAATGGGTATTGCGAACAAACTTCACACCCATGACACTGTAATACAGAGTTACATGTCAGTAGAACAACACAAATCTTTGTTGATAAAGCATGTTTCCACTGAATTTTTTACCAGACAATTTCTCTAAGAAGACCAAAACTATATATACATAGTCGAGTACACTTAGTGTCATTCTGAGGCATTTGGTAGACTTAATGGAAGTACCTGTCATCGTGAGCAAAGATAGACTTGTGACAATCACCGAAATCGAGTCCCCAAATTTTGATATTCTTGTCCTGAGAACCAGTCACAATCAACGCTCCATCGGATGAAATGTCAATGCACATGACAGGCAACTTGTGGCCATATAAGGAGAGGAAGAATTTTAAGGAATCCACATAGAAAACCTAAAAACAATAGGAAGGAAAACGCTGTAAGAATGATGGAAGTGAGATTATAGCAACAATTTTTTTTTGTTATCAGGATAGAAAAGAGTATCATACCTTCACCGTGGAATCTAACAGTGCAACCGCAATATGCTTAGCATCAGGACTGATGGCAACAGCAAGTACGTCATCATTCATCTTCATAGACCTCACATTTGAAACCGTGAGTTGCTTGGCTTCCTGCAAGGTTATATCATCACATTATGTACTGTCATATATGCAAATCCCTGATTTTGTTTCTTTCAAATATAAGAGGTCAGAAAAACTCACTTGGTCAGCTTTCTTTTTAACTTGGTATTCCCAAAACTTGACTTCATGATCTGCACTCACAGTGACGAACCCAGTGTCATCTGGAATGGGTGCAATCGACCAAATAGTTCCACCATGTGCTTCAACATCTTCCACTTTTGTAGCACTCCCTATATCAATGATCTCGAGTATCCCACTCTTTGTTCCAACGATACCATACTTACTCTTAGGGACAATCAAACTGCAGATTCCATATCCAGAATCAATAGTCCGGAGACAGGAACCTGTACTAGGATTCCAAATTTTCACTTCACTGTGACTGGTTGACATCAGAAGGGCGTTGTCGGCACTGAGGGCTACACTTCTCACATCAGATCGATGTCCTTGGTGTTCAATAGTAGCAGTTTTCTCGTTTTCGCTACCCTTTAGTGTATAGAACTCCAGAGAGTTATTGTTCAAAGACAAAGCCACTGTCGCCAAGGAATCTTTTGAAGTAATTGGACAGAAAGAGAAAGAACTTATTTTTCTGCCAGCTCTAATGACTTGTAAGAGCTTAAACACGTCAGGGACAGTAGGAACAGTCACAGTATCAGCTTTCTCGATTTCATTACTTGCATCTCCGTTAGCAGCTACATCTTCTTTAGAAGATTTCTTCTCTTTCCTGCGAAGCCTACGCTTGGCTTTCCGCTTCGCCTCCGTTTCATCCAACACCTGGAATATTTCAATTGTTTTTCCTGCCATTTGACAAGCCAACAAACTTCCCGAGTTATTGAACCTCACACTCGCAACTCTATCCTTGGTTTGTCTCTGGATCTCCCCAAACGGTACCAAAACTTCCCACTTATTCTCGTTCATATGATGATCTCCACTAGCGTCAACTCCATTTGCATTTGAATCTGACACCATTGATCCATGTGGCATGTTTTGTTTAACAGCATAGAATCTAAGTTCTTGATCAGCAGAACCAGTGACGAGATATTTCTCCTCTGGATCAACATCCACAGACCAGACTTCAGTGTGATGACCACTAATGATCTGCATACAGTGCTGAGTCTCAAGATCCCACACTCTCAAGAACTTGTCCTTAGATGCAGTAACAAGTTTCTTACCATCATCCATGAATACAAGATCGGTAACCTACAACACAAGCACACAACAAGTCGTGTCAAACAAAACAAAAAACAAGGAAAAAGTAACCAACAAGCTCAACACAAACCTGATCACGATGACCACGGAGACGAAAAAGCCCAGNTCTCAAGATCCCACACTCTCAAGAACTTGTCCTTAGATGCAGTAACAAGTTTCTTACCATCATCCATGAATACAAGATCGGTAACCTACAACACAAGCACACAACAAGTCGTGTCAAACAAAACAAAAAACAAGGAAAAAGTAACCAACAAGCTCAACACAAACCTGATCACGATGACCACGGAGACGAAAAAGCCCAGTTTCACCAACCACATCCCACAAGATAACATCATTGTCTTTACTTCCAGAAGCAAACATAGAGCCAGCCTTGTTGTAGCGCAGAGCAGTCACAGCACCCTTATGGCCATTAAGAGTAGTCTCACATGTTCCTTTCTCAGAATCCCATATCCTTATACTCCCATCTGCATACCCAACTGCAACCTACACACATTCCTCTTTACTTTAGTTCACTATTCCAAAAAAAAAAACAAACCTTTGCTTTAAAAAACAGAACACTAACATCAAGTTGTCAAATTCAATAACAACCCACAAAAAAGGTTCATCCTTTATAATCAAAAGGTTCATACTTTCTAATGTATTTGCCTAAAGTTTCCTCCTTTCTGACCTCTATCAAGTTATAGAGATAATGTAAAGTACCGAAGTGGAGGCAGAGGAGGCGATAGAGGTAACGGCAAGGGACTTTCCGACGCGAGAGGAGGAAGGAGATAAGGTTTTGGAGCAGATTCCTTGACGGACGTGCCAGATTCCGACCTTCTCGAGCGCCGGAGCAAACACATGCTTCCCCGTTGAATCGTATGAGATGTTGGATTCTAAAGACGTTATCACGCCAAAGGAAGAAGCTTGCTCGTATCTTAAGTATGCTTTCACCATTGTTTTGAAGCTTTTTTTGTTTTCAAACTTCTTTTTTGTTTTTGGTTTTGGTTTTGGCCGTCTCCTTCGTCTACTAACTACAACTGCATTGAAGAGGTTTAATTAGGGTTTTGGGAGAGAGGCGAGCTCACTTTCTAAAGTCTTTAGCTATTATAGTTTATTAAAATTGCAATAGAGTCCAGACGTTTTTGTTATTTCAATTTTTACCCTGATAGTTTTTTTAATATGTTTACGGTCGTGTAAAGATTAGGGATTGACAAAGATTATTTAATTATATATGATAATTATGAAACTTTTGTTACTAATATTTTCTAAATTTTATTAAAAAATAAAATTCTAAATTTTAGTTGTAAAATTATTAATTTCTTTTTATATATCATTTAGATGAATAACTGAAATTGATTAACTGAAGCAGTGCATCTTTTTATGATGTCAGTTATTATCATTTTTGGTAATGAACCATTGTAATTGCTGGTAATTGTAGTTTTTGGTGATTGACTGATTGTAGTTTTTGATGAAACACTGTAACTTTTGATATCAGCTATTGCAATTATTAGCTAACCATTGTATAGTTTGGTTGTCAACAATTGCAAGCTTTAGACATCTATATAGAATATAAGGTTTGGTTGTCAACAATTGCATTTACTGCTCAAAATAAATAATGATGATTTATATATAAATTATATATAATTAATTAATTGAATAATATATTAAAATATGTTTAAATCCAAAAATAATTTAATACTTTAAAAATAAATTTTACATTTTGTAGATAATAATATTTCACATATAAACTATAATGTAAATTATATAATGAATAAGATTCATTATTTTTAATATCACATATATATAATATATATTATAAATATATAAATATTATTTTTAAATAAATATACTATTATATTAACTATTATGATAATTTTAAAATTGTATAATGCTACTGTTCTACCAATCACTTTATTAAAAACTATAATGAAAGCATACAATTTTTGCAGAATATTGCTTTTACAGCATACTGCTAATATTTTATCATCTATTGTACCAATCGAGGCCTAAGAAGTCTTCTGAATATTTTGTCGTTATTGCTGAATATTTATAAATATATTTTTAGTGAAATATTTTATAAACATATATTATTATACTTTATAATTTAAACAAACTCATATCGATTCTTCAAACTAAATTGGGAGTTCATCATCCATATGGATAACAAACAATGATTGCTTCTTTACATTGTGTTTGAGAATGTCCATGTATGAATGAGATTTGAACTATAGAAATTTCTATTCAAAGTTTTATCTTCTAAATATTCTTCCCATTCCATAATATAAGATGCTTTAAAGAAGTTTTGATGTTCAGATATATAAGTTGTTCTGAAAGTTTTAATGTATTTTAATTTTATTAAAATTGATCGACAAATAATATTTTACTATTATTTGTGATTAGTTAACTCATTATAAGTTTTTATTATTATTTAGTAGAAAATAAGTTTTTTTAATTCTTGTGCTTTTGGTAAAACATTTTATATTATAGAATAGGGAAGTAACTTGCAAAAATTGGTCATTCTTTTGATTCTGAAACTATCTTCACTAACTGAAAATAGTTTATAAATATTTGTTAAATAAATAAAAGTTTTTAAAAACAAAATTAAATAACAAAAGAACATGTAAAATATATTTTAATTGTTTGATTAAAATTGTAAAACTATTTATTTTTTGATGATTCGAGTATGACACATATTTCTAAACTTCAAAGTTAAAATATTATCTTTCTCAAAAATATTACAGTATTGGTTTTTTTTATTAATTCAAGTATGACACATATTATTAATATATATGATTGTTTTCAAATTTTCATCGTTATCTTTATGTATCAATTTTATTTTTACTTTTTTGTTTGTGTAATGTTTTTATATATGAGTTATCACTAAGAGTTACAATTTGTTTGTAGAAATTTTTTTATTAACATCAGAATATTATTTTATTATTTAAATATGAGATAAAATTATTTAATTCTCAAATTTGAAATAATTTAGAAATCTAGATCAAAATAGAACAAGAAAAATGACAATAAAAATTACTAGCAATTCTAGTTAAACTATCAGAAGTCTGGTTTGTAGAAGTTCATCTACGACCAAGTCCCTGTTTTATTTTAGTGATTTCCGTGATCAACAAAGTCACTCATTCATTTTAAGTATAGTAAGTTAATTTAAGGATCTTTTTAAAAGTATAAAAAGGAAAAATTAGTTTATAAACTTTTATTTTGTTTATTGTTTCTGAAAATCTGGATCGTGGATGGAAGTTGTCTAATGGAATAGTACTTGAGTTCACGTCAATTAAAGCTGTTGACTTTGAACATATCAAACTTGTACATTTCACTGATTAATAATTTGATTTAAAAATGACGACTAAATGATTTAGAATGGATTCGTCAGAAAAAAAAAATCTTAACATCAATAATAACTAGAAAATATTCAGAAGACTTCTTAGTATACTATTGCGTGATAATGAAGAAGCTAATCACGTGGTTTATTTTATACAAACTAGGTGATCAGTTCACATCCTTTCTTATTTCATTCAACATTTTTTTCTCTTCTAAATAATTTGTCGTCTTCTTCTAATTTACGTTGCAAGTTTTTCTTATCTCCCACATTGTTTTATATTCTATTACTTCCTTTAAAAGCTGTTTATTTTTATTTTTCTTTTTAACTCAAGGGAATTGTCTAATATTTTATACAAACTAGGTGATCTGTTCACATCCTTTCTTATATATTTCGACATATTTTCTCTTCTAATTAATTTGTATTCTTCTTCTAATTAATTTACGTTGCAAGTTTTTCTTATCTCCCACATTGTTTTATATTCTAGTACTTCCTCAAAAAGCTGTTTTCTTTCTTTCTTTTTTTTTTAATTTCAACTCAAGGGAATCATCTAACGTGCATGCCGTCACTAATCCCTATTAAAAAGGGGTCACCAAGTTAGAGAGGGTGAACAAGATTCAACACTATTCTTCGTTGTTTCCAACAAAAGTAGAGATGGAATCGTCGTTGACTCATGTGATGCTCGTCTCATTCCCAGGCCAAGGTCACATAAACCCTCTCCTTCGTCTTGGCAAGCTCTTAGCCTCTAAAGGCCTACTAGTCACTTTCGTCACCACAGAGGAGCCACATGGCAAGAAGATGCGTCAAGCCAACGATATTCAAGACGGTTTGCTTAAACCAGTCGGTTTAGGTTTCCTCCGGTTTGAGTTCTTTGACGATGGGTTTACTCCCGACGACTTTGAGAGCAAACACACCTCCGGTGCCTTGTTCACACTTCTTGAAGTTGCCGGAAAACGAGAGATCAAGAATCTCGTCGAGAGATACGTGGAAAAGAAGCAACCGGTGAGGTGTCTTATCAACAACGCTTTTGTCCCTTGGGTTGGTGAAATGGCCGAAGAACTTCAAATCCCATCTGCTGTTTTATGGGTCCAGTCTTGTGCTTGTCTCACCGCTTACTATTATTACCAGAACCAGTTGGTTAACTTTCCGACAAAAACCGAACCAGAGACTAACGTTGAAGTCCCTTTCATGCCATTAGTGTTGAAACATGACGAGATCCCAAGCTTTCTTCACCCTTCCTGTCGCTTCTCCGTTTTCAAAAACCTCATTTTACAACAAACCAAACGACTTCCAAAGACATTTTCTGTTCTCATAGACACTTTTGAAGAGTTGGAAAAAGACATTATTGACCACATGTCTCAGCTTTGCCCTGAAGTCATCATCAATCCTATCGGACCACTCTTCATGATGGCGAAAACCACAAGCTCTGATATCAAGGGAGACATCTCCGGCTCTTTAAATCAGTGCATGGAGTGGCTTGACTCGAAAGAACCATCTTCCATCGTTTACATCTCCTTTGGAACTGCAGTCCATTTGCAGCAAGAGCAAATCGACGAGATAGCTCAAGGCCTTCTAAGCTCAGGCTTATCATTCTTATGGGTGGTTAGACCTCCTATGAAAGGGTTATCCTTAGCACCACATGTGTTGCCTCCCGAGCTCGAAGAGAGAGGAATGTTTGTGGAATGGTGTCCACAAGAGAGAGTGTTGGCTCATCCTGCGGTTGCTTGTTTCTTAAGTCATTGCGGATGGAACTCAACTGTAGAGGCGTTGTCTTCTGGTGTTCCCATTGTTTGTCTTCCGCAGTGGGGCGATCAAGTGACAAATGCGGTGTATGTGGTTGATGTTTTTAAGGCAGGAGTGAGACTCGGCCGGGGAGAGGTTGGTGATGAGAAGATTGTTTCTAGGGAGGTTGTGGAGGAGAAGCTACTTGAAGCGACGGTTGGAGAGAAAGCGGTGGAGCTGAGAGAAAATGCTTTGAGGTGGAAGAAGGAGGCTGAGGTTAGCATGGGGTGTGGTGGATCATCGGATAGGAACTTTGGAGAGTTTGTGGATAAGTTGGTTGCCACTTTATAAAAAAATCACAATAGTTTCAATACATATGGGTGTAACCGTAATATCTATAATTGTTTCCACTTTCAATTACATCATCCAACAAGCTGGCGTTACACAAGGAGGTTGGATGGTGTTTCATCATTTTCTGCAAATCAATAATTCTGTATTCTTTGCGATTAAATAAAAGCAAATCTTTCTGTTTAGACACTTTCTCGGACAGAGAAAAATAGTGTCTCAGGAAGTCCAAACTTAGCCCAAAAAGTTAGAACATTAGAGAAAACTATAAGTTTATCATTTCATAAACGTTTTTTTTTTTTTTTTTTTGTAAATGATCATTACATAAAGGTTGCTCATCTTTTTTCTACCCTTCTTTCTTTCTTTTGTTTATTTAAGTTCTGAGAAACTGATCAAGAGACCAGCGTTGATGACGCCTGAGAAATAGCCTAAGTTTGTAATGTTCATGGAAATTTAAAGAGAAAATGTTAACTCCTACCTATTATGTGTCACAAATAATTACTGGCGTCCAAATATTAAGTGGTTGATAAACATCATTTATGTTTGCTAAACTAGCATTGATTATAATAGTATTCGAATTTAACTAAGCAATCTAAAAATGATATGTGAAAATGCTATTAACAGAAAAAAAAAAATCAAAACAAAATTAGTGAGATTTTTTTAAAAAATATTTCTTCTCATATAACTTAGAGCATCTCCATTAGTGAACTCCCATTTGAGGTTCAAGTTTTCAATTTTTCATTTTATTTTATTTTTGTTTTTTTTTAAATAGGTCAATCTTGGGCCGCCACTTGTCGTGGAACCCATTCTACAATGATGAACCAGGTTCAGTGAAGAGAACTTGCAATGGAAAACGTGTAAACAGTGCATCTGAATCTTTAATGGGGTGTTCTTAGAAATCTAAAACATGCAAAATACGAAAATGTCCCTTTTTAGCTGATGGAAACTTGGAAAGGGATATGTAATATGTATGGTCATAGCTTCATCACAGATATCGCACAAGATTCTACGAAGTGACAAAAGACTAAGAAGAAGTGTATGATTTTGCCACTCATTTTCCTACTTACGTTATTTTGTATCACGTGTTCACATAAAGTGGATATTAAAAAAACTGTTAGACTGAAGAAAAAAAATAAAATCAGTTTCTTTCACCAAAAAAAAAAAAAAATCAGTTTCTACTCCAGCTTTATTTATATTTAACGGTCTCCACATTTCCGTAGTGTAAAGAAATAAAATCAGTTTCTAGTTTCCATAAGAAAAAAAAAAAAAAAAAAACAATGGAACCGTCTCTTCTTGCTCATGTGATGCTCGTATCATTCCCAGGCCAAGGTCACATAAACCCTCTTCTTCGTCTCGGGAAGCTCATAGCTTCTAAAGGCTTACTAGTCACCTTTGTCACCACAGAGCAGCCATGGGGCAAGAAGATGCGTCAAGCCAACAAGATTCAAGACGGCGTGCTCAAACCGGTCGGTTTAGGTTTCATCCGGTTCGAGTTCTTCCACGATGGGTTAACCGATGCCGAACACGACAAAAGAACCAACTTCCAAGCCTTCCGACCACACCTTGAACTTGTCGGAAAACAAGAAATCAAGAACCTCATCAAGAGATACGAGCAAGAGGACAAAAAGCAACCCGTGAGGTGTCTTATAAACAACGCTTTTGTGCCGTGGGTGTGTGACGTGGCTGATGAGCTTCAAATCCCTTCAGCTGTTCTATGGGTCCAATCATGCGCTTGTCTCACCGCTTACTACTATTACCACCACCGTTTAGTTAAGTTTCCAACCAAAACCGAACCGGAGATTAACGTTGAAATCCCAAGCTTACCGTTGTTGAAGCATGATGAGATCCCGAGCTTCCTTCACCCTTCATCTCCCTATGCAGCTTACGGAGAAGTTATTTTAGACCAGTTCAAGCGTCTTGAAAACCACAAGCCTCTCTTTGTTTTCATCGACACGTTTCAAGAACTAGAAAAAGAGACCATCGACCACATGTCTAGCCTCTGTCCTCAAATCAGTTTTACCCCTCTCGGTCCACTCTTCAAGATGGCTCAAACCATAAGCTCTGACGTTAAGGGAGACATCTCTGCGCCAGCGAGTGACTGCATGGAGTGGCTTGACTCGAGAGAATCATCCTCAGTTGTTTATATCTCCTTTGGGACTATAGCTCATTTGAAGCAAGAACAGTTTGAGGAGATTGCTTATGGCGTTTTGAACTCTGGTTTGTCGTTCTTATGGGTGGTTCGGCCTCCTATGGAAGGGTTAAGTGTGAAACCATATGTTTTGCCTCGAGAACTTGAAGAGAGAGGGAAGATCGTTGAATGGTGTCCACAAGAGAGTGTGTTGGCTCATCCAGCGATTGCTTGCTTCTTAAGTCATTGTGGATGGAACTCGACAATGGAGGCTTTGTCTTTGGGAGTTCCCATGGTTTGTTTTCCTCAGTGGGGAGATCAGGTGACTGATGCTTTGTACTTGGTCGATGTTTTCAAGACAGGAGTGAGACTTGGCCGCGGAGCGGCTGAGGAGAAGATTGTTGTGAGGGAGGTTGTGAAGGAGAAGTTGCTTGAAGCGACGGTTGGAGAGAAGGCGGTGGAACTGAGAGAAAATGCTCGGAGGTGGAAGGAAAAAGCGGAGGCAGCCGTGGCGTACGGTGGATCATCGGATAGGAACTTTCAAGAGTTTGTGGACGAGTTGGCTACGAAATCTGTGGCTAGAAAAGACAACGGAAAACACTAATGATAAATGACATGATGTCATGTAAGAGTCCAAATTGTTGATGTAACTCCAAAACCTAGACCACCACAGTATTCTACGTATATTATCATCTTTTTCTTTTTTCTTTTTAGTAACGTACGTAACACATCAATCCCATATATGCTCTAGTGACATCAATCTATCATCAGTTATCACATTCTATTTCATATATAATCATTTTCTCGGAAATAACATATAAATCCCATCTCATGCTCTAGTTATATCGATAGAACCAATTTTTACATTCTATTTCATCACTTCGAGCCACAAGTACTTTGATTTTGAATACCTTCCCGGCTTACAACTTCGACAAATTCCAAAAGCAGAAGGAGTCGGACGAAAAGTTTAATTCACACCGTCGTAACACCTCTGAACTGTTTTAGGTATAAATCGAATCACCAGCCAACAATCAAACAAGAATATGACCGACAGATCAACTGTCTACCAAAGTTCAAGAGCGCTACATGACGGGTAAAAATGCTCCGGCCAATGTCACAAAGGATGCAATTCGTGACTAGGCCAGTTCGACCATTAACACGTCCCATAAGATTAAAGCCTAAGACATCTCAACCCGTATCCCAATTTGACATTCTGTTAGCTTGAATAAGCTAATATCAGAAACAACAAGACATTTACACAAATCATTCACTTTATTTATTTTATATAATACATGGTCCACAACAGACAAAATATTATACAACTAGTGGCATGTTAAGAGAACAAAAATACATAATTATAGTCTGAAAACGTCTTAACCAAAAAGATGTGAATCTACACCATCCGGTCTAGCTTTCCGCAACTTATTTTAACTATTTCTTATACTAATTTATTTTTTATAATGAAAAGATACAACTTGTAAAATTAACAGATTTCTTTTTGTTGAAAAGACACATCTTTTCTTATAATGAAAATATACAACTTTTAAACTAATATATTTTAGATTTTTATGAAAAGATACAACTTTTCAACATTAAATAAAATTCTTGTTATTAATAGATATTATTTACAATGAAAATACACCATTGTTAAAACCATTAGAGTTCAGTTTTTATGAAAAGAAATAATTTTATTTGTAATGAAGAATCATAACTCTTGAAACTAATAGAGTCACTACAAGAAAGAGTAGTGATACCCGACGGCTGTATTTAACGGATATTTATCGGAAATGAGTGTTTCCGATTATTTTTCGACAAGCTAAGTTTTTGTCGGCGTTTGGGTCTCGGAAACTCCATTTATAGAAAGATTGTCGGTAATTTCCGATCACAATTATTGTCGGAAATACTTATCTCGGAACATACCGATAAATTTTCTGAGAAATCAATTCCTAGAGATTTCTGACAACTGAATATATTTAAATAAAAAAAATAAAAATTAAATTTTGTAAAACTAATATTCAAAATCATCAAATATTTATTGCATGAAAATTAAATATATAATTTAAAACAAAGAAAAATAAACAAAAGAACTAATTCTATTATTAACAACGAATTGTTGACAAAAAAAAACAACGAATTCGATGGAGATGATGGTGTACGGTGCAATGGAGGCCGTGAATCCGGTGCTGGTGGATGTGAGTCAGCAATTGAAGTCGTGGCGTGGTGATGTAAAGAGTTACGGCGGCGGTTCTCTACAGCGGTGGTCATACAAAGAGTTACGGTGTAAGTGCTCTACGGCGGTGGTGATGCAAAGAATTACGGCGGTGGTGCTCTGCGGCAGTGGTGATGCAAAGAATTATGGTGGCGGTGGCGGTGGCCGGTGGGGATGCAAAGTGTTACAGGAATTTCGGTGTAAGGAAGAGTGGCGGTCTACGGAGCGGTGGCGGTTCAAGGAGCAGTCGGAACAAGCGGTGGTGGGGAGGAGAAGATCTGAAAACAGATCTAAAAAGACAGAGCTGGAAGAAAGAAAAAAAGAAGCGGAGAAAAAATAAAAGAACAAAGGAAAGAGATGGACAAATTATGTAACTCTTCTTCTTGACCTTTCGTTTATAGATAAAAACTTAGAGAAAATAAAAGTGTAAAAGTAAAAGATTATCTAATTATTCTTGGCCATTCATTTATAGATAAGTTATGATATAAAAAGTCTTTATGCCAAAACACAACCGTTTTGCTAAAATGATTTTCATCGTTGTCAAAACTGTCCGATGATTTTCTGTCAAAACTTCGACAAATTTCCAGGAATCATCCATTGTCTGTAATCTCTGAGAGAAGACTAATGAGTTTCCGATTAATATCTTGGTTGTATTTTCTCGGAAAGGATTCAGTCTAAGCGTGAGAACTAGGACGATTTTCTGACGCTTTACCGAGAATAAATTTGGCCTTACCGAGACGTTACCAACAAAATCTGTTTTATCAGAAAGAATTTTATTTTTGACAAGATACCGACAATTCATTCCAGGAAATAACCGAGAAACTTGATTTATCGGAAAGTTCCAAGAATCTTCCGACGAAATCTGCATGTTCTCGGAACGTTGATGCAACTGTGTCACAAATTTTCCGACAAAATAAATTATCGGTACTCATCATCGGAGTATGCAATGCTTTCTTGTAGTGAGTTCAGTTTTTATTTTTATGAAAAGACAATTTTAAACATTAATTGAGTTTTATTTTATAAATTTATCTTTTATAATGAGAAGAGACAAATTTTAAAACTTATTTAACTATTTGTTAAGCTAATTTCTTTATTTTTATATAATGAACAGATACAACCTTTAAAATTAACATATTTTTTTTTGAAAAGATACAACTTTTCTTATAATTAAAAACTATAACTTTAAACTAATATATTCCAGTCTTTTGTTATTAAAAGCCTTGCAAATTAATCTCTACGTTGACAATGTGATATCTTTTTTTTTTGGTGATTATGTTGATAATTTTCTAATAAAAAAAAATTACACTTTTAGCATCTTTTAAATTAAATTAAGATTAAGACAAACAAGAGTGGTAAGTAAGGTTAGCGGTGTTGACAAAGAATAAAACAAAAACGAAAAGTAAGATCTGCGGTAGAGAAAGTGAGTGAGTAGGTTTGATTAAACGTTATGGCTCTTATATAAATCAAGAATGCTTTTGCATGTTAGAAAATTTGTAATACGACTCTTCATAAAATAATTGTTTAATCATATTTGAGCAACGATGGAGTTTAAATCTTCTTCACCTTCGAGTCCAATTCATGTAATGCTCGTGTCGTTTCACGGACAAGGCAGTGTCGGTCCGCTTCTCCGTCTAGGCAAGGTAATTGCTTCAAAGGGAACAGTCGTTACGTTCGTCACTACGGAGAACTGGGGCAAGAAAATGAGACAAGCCAACAAGATCGTCGATGGTGAGCTTAAACCGGTTGGTTCCGGTTTAATCCGGTTTGAGTTTTTCGACGATGGATGTGCGGAAGATGATGTCCGGAGAGGTACTTCCTTGTACATCCCACAGCTAGAACGATCCGGGAAACGAGAAGTAACGAAACTCGTGAGGAGATACGAGGAAAAAAACGAACCCGTCTCTTGTCTGATCAATAACCCTTTTGTCCCATGGGTTGGGGACATTGCGGAAGAGTTAAACATTCCGTACGCAGTGTTGTGGATACAATCTTGCGCTTGTTTCTCTTCTTATTATCATTACCAAAATGGTTCTATTCCTTTCCCAACAGAAGCAAAGCCTGATCTCGATGTTAAACTCCCATGCGTTCCTGTCTTGAAGCACGACGAGATCCACACCTTTCTCCATCCTTCTTCTCCAGTCACGGGCCTACGAGACGCGATTCTTGGACAGTTCAAGAATCTGAGTAAGTCCTTTTGTGTTCTACTCAACTCCTTCGACGCCATGGAGCAAGAAGTGATTGATTACATGTCGAAACTCTTTCCGATAAAAACCATCGGACCGCTTTTCAAACTCTCCAAGACGGTAACCTCTGATGTAAGCGGTGACTTCTGCGAACCCTCGGATCAGTGCCTCGAGTGGTTGGACTCGAGGGGAGAAGCGTCAGTTGTGTACATCTCTTTCGGGACGGTTGCGTATTTGAAGCAAGAGCAGATGGAAGAGATGGCTCATGGAGTTTTGAAATCCGGTTTAACGTTCTTGTGGGTGATTAGACCACCTTTACCAGATTTAAATCTTGAGACTCTTGTCGTGCCTCAAGAGATTAAAGAAGCGTGTGGTGAGGGTAAAGGGAAGATTGTGGAGTGGTGTCCACAAGAGCAAGTGTTGGCTCATTCTTCAGTGGCGTGTTTTGTGACTCACTGTGGATGGAACTCGACGACGGAGGCTTTGAGTTTGGGTGTTCCAGTGGTTTGTTTTCCGCAGTGGGGAGATCAAGTCACCAACGCGGTTTATATGATTGATGTTTTCAAGACGGGAGTGAGGCTTGGCCGTGGAGCTGCGGATGGGAGGATTGTGCCGAGGGAGGAAGTGGCGGAGAAGCTTTTGGAAGCGACGGTTGGGGAGAAAGCGGTGGAGCTGAGGAAGAATGGTTTGAAGTGGAAGGTGGAGGCGGAAGCAGCTGTGGCTCCCGGGGGTTCGTCGGAAAAGAATCTCATGGAGTTTGTGGAGAAGTTAGGCGTGTGAGCAGTGGCTGAAGGAAAATCCCCATATTTATTTGGTAAAAATAAATTCTTAATAAATATTTAAAAACTAAAAATAATGTCTTATATAAAGTATTTATGTTGTTGAAAACATAAACTCCATTGAGTTTTAGACTCAGTTTGGAAAGAAGGTAACCTTGTAAGGAAATAAGAGTCCCAGTGAAAGAGAATGAGTGTAAAACGTAATGTTATTCTGTTTTGACGTATAGCGCAAGGTGATGTACTAACCTGATAAGAGCATGAACTATCCTTTACCCTTAATATTATGACAATAACTTAGTAATTTAGAATGTGTTTTAATAACTAAGTTCTAAGGAAAAATATTTAGGCAGATTTATATTTTATTTGGGTTTCTATTTACTTACAAATATATTTGACAGCAATAAAAATTAAATATGGAATATAATAGCATCGCAAAATACACTTACAGTAAGTTATATTTGGGGCATATATTTAAAACTAGGTAATTTTACTGTTCTCATGCACGAATGTAAATTTTTATAAAGTACATATAAAGCTGATGAAATGTAATGTAAGATCACTTTCGTGAAGCGTTTTTTAGGATGCCGGACGTGAGTGAAGAGGAAGGATATAAAGCTTTGCGGATTTTTAGCACATTCCAAGCAGTGCCGGCTGCGTGGCCGACCGTGTCTAGCACATCTCTCGTGGCTTCCCCAGCGCTCTCACCCAACCTGGTCCATGTTATAATGTGAGATCTTCTACTCAACTTTCAACGAAGATGCATACACAAACAAACAACGAAGATCTGAACTAAATAAACACACAACTTGAACTAAAACAATTTATGTTTGTTGATCTTAAACACACAAGTGAAACTTACCTGTCGCTAACCATTCTGGTAGTAGCTTTGGACGTAGCAGAAAGAGTTTGCCTCTCTGCAGCTTCAGCAGCATCTAGTATTTTATCTATTTTTGAAATCAAATTAAATCATTTTCAGTATATCCTTATAGAGATACACGAGTGGAAGTAAATAAATAGTAAGCTAACTTACTAAGAGCATCAAGTGAAGCCAAGAGAACTTCCCCTGGAACCATTGAGAAAAAAGCTTTCCCTGGCTTCGACTTCACGATAGGAGCCATCACCGAACCACTCACCACTCCCACACCATTCAACATAGTCTTGCTCAGTTTCTCAGTCGCTCTCGAAAGTTTCCTCACTCTATATACTATATGGTTAAATAAGAGATAAAAAAAAATACTAAGAATCACTCACTCTTTATGAGAAATATTATATGCACCGTTGAAGATTCTTGTTGATTTGGTTCTTGTTTCTGGTTGCATTTCTTTTTGATGACGCACCACTCTTCTTCTCAGCCTTTGTAATCATAGTTTCACCTCCTTTGTTAACCTGTTTTCTCGTAAAATGAAACCCATGATTCAGAATATGCCTGAGCATTTATAACTGAATTCCAAATCCAAACCCAACCTAGCTCGAAAACCCGAACCGATATTTCGAAACCGTTTTATACCAAAACCGAACCAAAATCTGAACTAGTATCCAATAAAACGGAAGCTAACTAAACCAGTAACCAATTTTATTTAATTTGGGTAATTTGGATATAAACTAATTTTAGAGAGTTCAGGTAAATTTTATACGGGATTTATACTAGAACCTGAACGCCCATCCCATTTCAGAATTTGAATATAATATACAATTTAAGGTAGCCTAAATATAAAGGAGATTCGGATAGTTACTTTAGATGTTCCAGTTAATACTACCATTCATGAATTATCCAACTCATTATATCTAAAATGACGTTTCTAAGATTGTACAAACCTAAGAGATTTAATTTGGGGTAATAAACCTGATTAGTATACGCATTACTGCATTTGAACATTCCTCTAATGATATGCCCTGTCCCTCCGGCGATGGCTTTAGCCACAACATTGTTATAATCTTCAATCCTAGGCGCAAACTCTTTCCAGTCGATTCCATTGTTAACACTCGAAGAAGAAGAAGAAGAGGAAGAGAAACAAGAGTTCTCTCTCAAAAAATCGTCTAGCAACTCGAGGCTGTTCACAAAAACAACGTCGTTTGGATCTCTAGGGAAGAAAGTGACCCCGTAGCTGAGTGGGTCTCCGTCTTTCACCGGAAGCGTGAATAGGTAGTCACGGGAGTCGAGTTTCACCACTGGCTCGTCTTTAATAACCGGCCACTGTAGGTCATTTCCTATCCTCACTACCATAGCTAATGCTACGCCGTTGTCTGAGACCTGTACGAGCTCGAAGTCTCCTGAGGCGAGCTCCACGGCTTCGGATCCGTCGATGAGATGGGCTCTGCATCCTTGAATCTGTAATAGTACTTCTTCTCTAACGGTTTGGTGATAAGTGGTGCCTTGTTGTCCGTACGAAGGTGGTGGTAGTGGTGGTGGTTCATTTCTTGGAGGTTTTGACCTGAAACATCTCATCGTGTTTTCGTCTCTGAGGTATCTGGTGTCTATTCAAAAAAATAAAAGATTGAGCTTTATCGATTGCATTAAAGTGCTTTTGTTTCTGAGTAAATTAAAAACACAAAGACATATCTATTGACTATTCAGTACTGGTTTCACAGTTTTTTCACTTTCGGTGCTAATCGAGGCACAAAAACCTTTTTTACTTTAACAATGCTAGGAGCCTAGGACCCAACCTGACACATTTGTGTTTGGCAATGAAAATTGGTTTCGTTTTGGCTTCTTCCAATAATTCATCAAAACCAAGATAAATTTAATTAAATATGTTTACAAAAAAAATAAATTTAAAATTATCTTTTTATTGGGAAATTTTAAAATAATCTCTAATTTGTGATATGCAAAGATAATTTTAAATAGTTGACCAACGGTTTTTTTTTTAAACTTGTTTATTTAATATTTATATAAAATATTTTTAAAATTTCATTATATTAATATATAAGTCATTATAAATCTAATAAGTACATTTTATTATTTATTAATGGTAACCAATCATATGTTACTTGTGAAAATTTCTTATTGGCTTTATGATAGGATGGAAAATATATAACTAAATAATATATATATAATATAGATTATTCAAATGAATGATTTAACTAAAAGTAATAAAATATGACAAATAACTAAAATTAGTGAGTTTATTTCTCAAATAATAGTATAGATTAGAAAAAAATACCTTTAGAAATTGAATAACTGAAGAAACAAATGTTTTGAGTTTATATAGACATATCAATGACAAAGAAACTCATTTTTGTCAAAATGAGTAGATTAGTCATTTATGAAAATTATAGACTTTTCTTTTGTCAAACGAAAAATTATAGACTAAGCCTAGGATCTCAACTGTTCCCAAGCGACCATCACGACCTCTTGGTTAATGTCTTTAAGTTAAAGCAGTCAATTAAATTAAATTTTTACAATGAGAACCAAACCGATACATCTCTACTTCCATGATATTAAAGAAAAAAAATCGGTACATCTCGCTGAAAAAGCTTTGATCTTCTTCCTCTAGTTCTGCCGGAAGTCCGAAGTTACCACGATGTCGGCTCACATTACGTTGAACTTGACGGTAAGAAAATCACAAACCTAGAAAATCACTACAAGATCTCTACTTCGAACTAGTAACCTCACAGGTGATAAAATACTCCTCTGCTTCTAATGAACATCGGAGCAAAGCCTTGTTGTCGCTCTCTCTCGTCACTCTCCTCACTATTCAAACCCAAGACACAAAAGAACGTACACAAAAACACCTGTCTGATCCAAACCGAGCTTGAAGTTGAGGTACGCCGAAGATGCAAGACTGGTCAACTAAACCTCCAAGAATCTCTCCTTTACTTCGAAAAACTCTTAAAGACAAGACCCATGCCTTTAGCCGACACATTTAACCACCTCTTCTGCTACGTCATGAAGCTTAAAGGAGCTTCGGAAGTGATCTCTATGTACAATAGGATGAGACAACAAGGCATTGTTCCTGATCTGTACACTTGCAACATTTTGATTAACGCGTTTCGACATTTGGAGAGAGTCGATTACGGGTTTTGTGTTCTGTGTGATGTTATGAAGAGAGGGTTGGAGCCTGACTTGGTAACAGTTGATTGTTTGGTGTGTGGGTTGTGTTCTCAAGGGAAAGTGGTGGATGCGCTTAAGGTGTTCGATGAAATGTGTGAGAGAGGGATTAAGAGTGATGTAACTCTCTATAGGACTATTATCGGTAAGCTTTGCGGGGTTGGTGAAACGGGTAGGGCTGTGGATTTGCATAGAAGGATGATTGCTGCTGGTTTCGAGGGAAATGCGCTTACTTACGGTTTTATAATCAGCTCCTTTGTTAGAGACAAGTTGATCGATGAAGCAATGTCAGTGTTTGGAGAAATGAAGAGGAACAGAGTTTCCCCTAACGTTTCATCTTTTGGACTGATTATTCATTGTTTGAGCAGCTCAGGGGGATTGAAGGACGCGCGTGGATACTTGGATGAGATGATTGCTCAAGGGATCTCTCCTGGTCTCATTGTCTATAACTCTCTTGTTTATGGACTATGCAAAGAAGGAATGTGGGACGAAGTTGCGGAGATGATCAATGAAATGGTGAGAAGAGGGATATCACCGGATGTTTGTACTTACAACACTTTGATAAGTCGTCTTTGCAAAGACCATAAGCTGGATGAAGCTATTGATGTGTATGGCTCAATGATTAATAAAGGTCCGGAGCCTAATTTACAGACATATAACACGCTGTTGGATGGTCTATTCACAGGGTGTAGGTATACAGACGCAACTAAACTATTCGAGTCGATGAGGCATGATGAGGTTGAGCTTAATGTGGTTACTTACAACATGATGATCAGTGGCTATTGCAAGTATGGGAAGCTTGAGGAAGCCGGCGAGCTTATAAGGGAAATGAATTGTAAAGGTTTGAAGCCAGATAGCTATACAAATATGTCACTGATCCGGTTTGTTAACCAAGCTGGAGATTCAGAAGTTGCCAAAGAAGTCTTTGATGTGATACGCAAGTCTGATTCCTCTCCACACTTACATCATTACACTGCTCTAATTGATGGTCTGATTAAAAAGGAGAAAATAGATGAAGCAAGAAAACTATTTGATGAAATCTTGGACAAGGGCTTGGTGCCAGATGCTGTAGCGTACAGTAATATGATCATGGGCTGTTTCAAGTATGGTAGAACGAAGGAAGCCATAGAGCTCATAAGAAGAATGGGAAGTGAAGGGATGAGACTTAGCGGTGCTCTATACACGATAATGATTCGTGGTGCAAGCCAAGCCGGGAACTGGGACATGGCCTTAGAAATCTTTGATGCAGCTGGTCATGCTTCAAACATAATCCAGTTCAATATTCTCATCGATGGTCTGATAAAAAGTGGTAAATGGGATGATGCAAAGAGACGTTTTGATGAAATGTCTGACAAGGGTTTGGTGCCTGATACCATTACGTACAATACAATGTTCAGTGGCTATTGCAAACAAGGAAAACTAGACGAGGCCTTTGAGCTTATAAGACGCATGAAACGTGAGGGGCTGAAACCAGACAGTTACACCTACACTTCACTGATACACGCTTCTTGCCGAGCTGGAGATTCAGATGCTGCCCAAGATATCTTCAACTCAATACGCAAGTCTGGTCAATCCCCAGACATATTTCAGTTCAATGCTCTCATCAGTGGTCTAATAAAAAATGGGAAACTAGATGATGCAAAGAGACTCTTTGATGAAATCCAAAACATGGGATTGGTGGCAAATGTGGTAACATACAACATAATTATTGATGCCCTCTGCAAACATGAGATGCTATCAGAAGCCAGAGCATTGTTCTATGAATTAGAGCCAAAGGGTTGTTCACCTGATTCTATTATGTTCAACACCCTTGTAAGTGGCTTCCTTCAACTGAACAGGGTTAAAGATGCTGTCCCGCTTCTTGAGAACATGCTCGATAGGAAATTCATCCCAGACAGTGTGGTTAAACATAGACTGCGTCGAGTTCTTGCTCGTCCTGATGGTCGTAAAGCCCTTCAGCCACTTCTAGACACTTATGGTGAGAGCATCTTCGAGAGAAAATCATTGTAATCATAGTTGGCACTGACCTCCTGGTATTTTTATTTTGGCTCTGTCTAATCATTGGATATGATTCAAGCTGTAAATTCCCCTATGCTTTTTCAATGGTATGTTTTTCTTTGTATTTAATACAATTGTTACTTTGCACATAGTCGTGACGTCCTGTATGCTTTTTCAGTGGTGTTTCTTTTTTTTTGCATTTAATACAATTGTTACTATGTACATAGAACATGAAAGAATCACCATTTAAGGTAGAACAGAACAAGCATCAAGGTGAATAAGGCCAGCTATGTTTGCCGCTAGGCAAAGGAGTGTTCCTCCATGAGCCACGCTTAGTGGAAACTAGCTCAGGTGTCTTATCAGGCTTCTCCACGGCCATCTCTAGCTCTAAATCTTCTCCAACCCTGAACTCCGGGTGCGCATACGCATTTCGAAAGAAAGCCTTGAGGTTTAGGTTTGGCTCACGTGTGCGTTCCAATGTATCTTTGATCATGGCTTCCTGATACAACAAAAGGTAAAAGATATACTGCTAAGATGTTACTGCTTTTGTTAGAAACATCGAAAAGGTACGCTTACAAGTATCACATAAAGCTACTAGCTATAGAGATTTCAATATGTTTAGTGTTTTAACTAGCCTGTAAAGAGTATGTGACAAAAGCAGGTAGGTAACGGCATTTGCAGTGCATGTGGAACCCAATGGTCAGCACCGGAAGAACAAGAAGCAAAGGAGTTGACTTAGAAGCTTGTTTGGTGCTTAGAAGACCCATCAAAAGCAGCTGCGAAACTACCAGTGCGGTCACAACACGCCTGTGAACGTCAGGCCAGAACTTCCCTGCGCTCTCATACGTTTGGTTATACACATTTATAACCTGCAGAATGAATCCTTCATTGTTAGTTACCTAACAATGCTCGAACTCTAAAAAGCAGAGGATTCAGTTATATCTCACCTGATGACGGTACACTACATAAGCCAGGGCGAAGAAGAGGATAATAAAAGGAAGAAGGATGGGACTAACTGCTGCGTAAACAAGACCAAGAAGGAAGTAGAGTTGTATTTGCGGTTCGCCAGTGTTGAATCCTATGGTTCCAGCATCTGTTGCTTCTTCCCTATCATTCTCAGTTCTCACTAAGAAAGAGTTCTTTAGATGATAGATTATAAGCGGCTTCAACCTCAGTATCTCTCCAGCAACACCTGCCCATCCATCCACCATTATATATGTTATAAAGAAGGTCGCTTTCATTGGAATCGAGACGCCGATTATCTTTGGAATACTGCAAGAAAAAAAGACAAGTCAGAAGACTTCCATGTAATACATGGACAAGGTTGAAGAACATACTCGTTTGCAGACTGGTTGAGGAAGCGGTTGAGCTGTTGAAACGCAGTCCCTGTGACTATACTTCCAAGGAAAACATTGATGAACTGAAACATGTAGAATCTACTTGCAGCTCTTCTTTCTAATGAAGATGTGCTGACAAAACCTTCGAATTTCGACATTTGCATCAGTATTCTTGGGAGGAACATGAGGAAGATCTTCAATGCTATTCCTGGAAGAAAGCCTTGGATGATGGACTTGAAAAATTTGCTGTCCAAAAAGACCAAAAGAAACGGTAAGAAATTCTATAAAAGTTGACAAAAACAGGTTGATAGACATAATAAACATACACTTCTATAAGGGGCTTCAAGAAGGGAAAAGCCTTCTCTATGCCTTCTATGTTGGCGAGTGACTGTACAAATGCTATTGGGATCATGAAGAAGAAGGTGAGGAAGAAGTATGCGATAGCTACTATGATCCTCCTTATCTTAAGGTCGACATATGGCACTGCTAGATTGTCATAGTAGATGTCACGTGGCTCTGCAGCCCACTCTGTTAGCCACTCTGTTGGGTCTCTTGACTGTTCAGTTTGTGCACAAACCGCTGCTCCCCAACGGCTCTTGAAAGATACAAAAGCTGCTGGAACTATAGACTTTGTCCCTGTCCTTAACCTCTGCTTCTCTTCATTTATCTGAAACATTCAAAGTTAGTTTTAATTAAGTGTTTCAAAATGAAATAACATAGTAGAGATGAACATTCTACTTCTCTAGTTAGACTCTCCACCATGGACGTGTAGTACTTGATTCCATCAACTTGTTCACCGCAACAGCCAAGAAACCCCATCTGCTTTCAGAGATTGAAATGAGTCATAAAAAGAAACAACAAAGTTTTTTTTTGTTTTCAAATGTTATTTTACCTTTATTACTGGCCTTTTAGATTGAGTTCTCATGTGTTTGTTGATATTGTAATCAAGCAGATTCTGCATTTGTTTCCTCTTCTGAACCAACTCTGAGAGTTTTGTTGAGTCGTGGACTGCCTGAGTTAAAAGCAGATTAACTCAGAAATCAAGTCAGAGATAAAAAATATATATATATATATCAGAACATCTAAAGATGACTTTACCTGGTAAGTGAGGTAGTGATCAGGATGGTTGACCTTGAAGAAATGTTCAACAAGTTCACAAACTGATTCATGAGGATCAGTAGGAATGTTTCTCACCAGCACCTAACATTAATTATAAAAAATGTTTTAAGCTTTGGAAGAAGTGATTGATTCTATATTAGAAAGCAAAACTCCAATGAGTGATTCATTACAGTAAACTGGTTAGGTCTCCTTTCATCATTTGCAAGAAACTGTAGCCTCATCAAAGCTATATTCTGGTACTCTCTTTTCAGCATAAAACATGTCCAGAAGGTGATGGCATAAGCCATACACAAATGCACCCAAAATCTACTGGAACAGGAAAATACAATTATTCATCGTTACACTATTGAAAAAAGAAGTCAACAAACTTGGAGAAGCATATTTTTACCTGCCTGATCCATTTGGTATATTTGATAAAGAAAGTTTATCGATATCACTGAAACTTATATTAGAGTGTTTCAACCGATCCAATCCCTTGTTTGTCCAGTTAACAGGCACCATTGCTGTAAAAGCAACACAAGCTATGGGGAAAAAGATCTTGAGCCTGCAATTTTAAGATCATGTCATCAAGAAAAAAGAGCTTAGGAGAAATGAGAAGGGCTTTGGAGATTATATATATATATACCCGAGTAAGTAGATCCTTAAGTAGACAACAGAATCGAGTCCTGCGTGATGGACAAGCTCAGGTTCTGGCATTTTAAGTGCTTCAGGCATCCAGTTAAGGAATCTAACATAGGACCTGAAGTCCAAGTTGATAAACTTGCTTCCAAAGCCACCGGTTTGTATAGAGCTAGTTCTTAAGCCCTTGAGATACCATTTAGGGAAATAGACTCTGTCGTTTACTGGTTGAATCCTGAGTATCGCAAAAGCTAGCAAGAAAGCAATTGCTGTGACTATATTGATTGCTGCTGCCACTCCAATATCGTTTATTGAAGCCATGAGAAGTGTGGAGATGGATAATGCTGTTTTTATTTTCCTGGAAGACGATAAGGAAAGAAACACAGATTGAGACAAACTTTGAGAGTTGGTGTAAGAAAAGTCAAAATTAGAAAGAAAAAAAATAAGATAAAACTTTCTCTGTTTATGTTTTACTCAGAGAGTGAACATATCCAAGCAGAAACAAGAAACCATCTGTCACAGTCACAAACAACACTGAAGAAATCAGCTTTAGTAATAAAAGAAACAAGATTCACTTTTATTACCTTTTTAAAAAGGTAAAAGACAAAGGTTCCTTGTTCTGCAAGTAGAATCTCAGCTCAAGAAGAAGAAGAAGAAGAAAGGTGGTATGTGTGGAGAGTTACTGGGAAAGATGAGAAATTTTCTTGCCGGGTCTTGAGGAAATATGTCAGAAAATACATTCGACTAAAGACTACTGCAAATTTATTGTTTGAAATCCGTGAAGGCAAAGTACTGTTTGCTCACTTGGCAAAACGTGAGCCTTCTGTATTTATTACACGATGAAATAAGAAAGTAAAGATGCTGTTTGGAAAGAAAGCAAGAAAGAGACCGACGAGTAAATTAAAACCGTGACTAAAGAAAATGACAAGGAAATATTAGAGGTAGGCACCAATTTAAATCGGAGTGTGTGTTTTGGAATTGTCTCCCAACGTTTCTTTTCCGTTTTTAACGATAATAGATTTGAATTGATTTTGTGTTTTTTTTTTCGTTATGTTCCAGTGCATAAACTAGTGGCTCTGATTATTCATTGGTTTTAAAAATATGTATCTTTGGCATATTACCTTACATTTTATTTGATCTATTATTCATTTTAATTGGATTTATAAAACTTAGATATCCGTAAATTTTTTGAAACAAATTGAATACTAATATATTATTTATGTAATATCCATACAATATATAAAATATCACAAATATAATTTGAATAAAAACTAAAATTAACTAGCCAATAAGCGGATATATGATAAGATATTTTATGTATGTTATGTATTTTATAATCAAAATGTTCTTCTAATACTTTTCTCATCTTTTTCTAAACAAATGATTGAAATGTTGGAAGCTTATCTATTCAATTGATTCATAAATCCTGACGTAAATGATTTTTTGTTGATGATTGTGCAGATTCAAAGTTGCAAAATCAGATGTAGAGTGGATTCCTAAAAATGAATAGAATTTTTTAGGTTATGGTATATTCTAGAGTGGTTCAAAAAAAATAAGTTATTTAGAGATTTGCCATATTTTAGGGAGAAAAAATAGTGATGGGGGAAGGAAAGAGAATAGAGAAATAGAGTATAGAGTTAAATAGAGTGTTTTGTGTATGTATGAAGTGCAAATACTCTATATTCTATATTTCGGAGCTTGTACCAAATAGAATATAATTTAAACTTCATATTAAAGACAGTATCCCCTCAAATCTGGTTTGTACCAAAAGAAAAATATATTAAAAGTCTGCTTGAATGTTACAAAAAATGGATGGGATGCTCATAATCCTAAAACTATAAAAAAAAAACTAAACCTACATCAAAGTAGTTAAGAAAAACCAGAACATAATTCTATTTCTAACTGATTTATGTTACTTTTGCATTTAATTGAATATAATGTTTATTTTGCAATTTTATTTAAAATTTATATCATTTTAAGTAAATCTCCCAATTTAATTTTACAATCTAAAAATAATTACTACTAATTATTTAATTATATATATATATATATATATATATCATACAGCTCACCTTATTTTGTTCTAGTTATACTTACAGAATATGTAAAGATGTTACTAAAATTTTATTATTTCGTTTTCAAATTAACATCTAATATAAAACTCATTTATAATCATAATTAAAATTTTAGATCTAAATTTATATAATTATTCAAAAAATCTTATAAGATCTTGGTATAGGTTAAAAAGAAATATAAATTTAGATATATTGATAAATACTATTAAATAATTATTTATGGATTATTTAATTTGAAATTGATTTAAAGTTTTTATTATTTATTTCTAATGGAACAGTCCATAATCAGCACATTTTGTAAAAATATAATATACTATATGATTTTATTTAATTTAGTATTTTATTTAAAAATATAGTTACTAGATCAAAGTTGGTAGTCTGCAAATATTTAAAAAAACAGATTGATTATCTAAGTTTAAAAAAACGATTATAAAAGTAAGTATTTGACTCAAAAAAAACAAATTTGAATATTCTAATAAATCCATTGTGTGCTCATGCCTTGATTGGATAAGATAAAGTCTATGGACCCATGATGAAAAAAAGTCGGTTAGTTTTTAGTGAGTGTGAACAACTTTACAATATATCATTTCAATAATAAAATAACATCCAATTCAAAACATTTTACTATATTAATTATATTGTTATACTATGAATGCAGATTGAAAAGATGATATGGTTTGTATTAGCTAATACAAATGTAACAAAATTAATTTTCTGTTTATCCTTATGATAAAGTTTCTAGCTTTGGTTTCACCGGTCTAACTTTATCATTACAAGCCTTGTATTTCAATAGTGCATCATTTCTCAATATTTTTCAAAGATCAACATATATATATATATATATATATAGTGTTTAAAATGTAACTAAACCATCTTTGTGAGCATTAAAATCAACATATATTTATATATAAAGTAGGAAATCTATCTCATTAAAACATTGTCATCATATGAAAATAATTCTATTTCTACATATTATTTACACATTTACACTATTTTCATACTACACACATTTACACATGAAATTATTTTAACATTTAGATTTCATATATATTTCCTATTTTTACTAGAACAAAAGTTTAAAGGTTATTTTTAATTCATATTGTTTAAATAAGTGATACTAACTCAGTTTAGTCTTGCAAAAAAAAAAGATTATTATATATTTAAAACTCAACAATTTGGACTTACAAAATGAAATATATTATAAATAAAATCAAACTGATTTATAGATATAAAAACTTAATTTTCATTTTCATTAATTGATTATGCATGAGAATAATTTGGCATTTTAAAAGCACATAATCCAATATTAATTACAAAAAAGTCTATGTAGATGGTTTACTTACATCTTTAATAGCTAATGTAAAATGCACCATCTAGTTTTTAATTGAAATTTAAGTTAGATCTATTATAAAAACACTTCTGCTTTAAATATAATCTCATTCATCCAACAGGATATTCTGTAAACTTTGTTTACACTACAAACCGTTTTCTTACAAGGTGGGTCCATAAACTTTACAGTAAATAGTTATGTGAACAAGTTCAGACATTTTATGGCAACCCAAACCGCATTCCCGTTTAATAATTGTATGGCGCATTTTGCCAAAACACTTTATTAAATTTATAATTAATGTTTAGAAATATCGATTACTTTTATATAATTTTGTACGTATTATCTAGGTCCCATTCTCTATAAACTTTAGATATGCACAGCTAATGTTCAGTGACGCCATACCGTTATTTAAAAAAAAAAGCACTGTAAATTGGTTTTTGACTATAATACCAAAACATATCTACTAGTTTAGTTGTATATATTAATGTTGTCGCTAATATTACCACCACCTTCGTCTTCGGCAAATCATCTCCGCTTTACCTTTGGTTCTGTCCAGGTACGAAGAAGTGCTTGTTGGGAATTATAAGTTGAAATTTGTTGCTTGCTTATAGTTCTACGGTTGGCTCTTCTGAATAAGCTAGAATGATGTTATAGGCTTTTATCTACTTTTTTTTTTTGCAGTCTATTGCATCTAATTAGCTTTCGAACAGAAGAGATGACAATTCTTTGTAATCAGACTTTCATTAACTTATTTATGACTACATTTTAAGCAAAAAAAAAAAGTTCCACCCTTATTCCAGTTGGTAAACTACATATTCATGCTGATAAAAATTGATTTTTCTTACTACTATCAGTGGAATAGTCTATATTCACTTTTTAGACTAAATCTATATTCACAATTTTTCGAAAGAATTTATATATTTTAATTTTTAACTTAACAACTCAAAGACAAGCAGAATAATTCGTAGTGGTTGGTTTTAGGTTTTAACTGTTATTTATCAACAGATTTTATACACCACTAGTTTGATTCGTCGATTCCAATTAAGTTTATGATTCTTATTGTTGACAAAAATATACTACTATTATCATTAGTTAATGCCAGTACTGTTTAATAAATATGTCTGGAGTCATAATAAAGGTTAGGAAAATATAATCATTAATTAGATACACCATTACTCATTTTAGGAAGAAATATCTGGATCCACTTGAATAAAACGAAGAAATTAGCATTTTTTTAGGTTAAAGGCAAAGTTAATTACTATATTAATGGAAACCAGTGTAGACATCCCATCATGGAGGAATGCGTGGTCAAAAGCTAATCTGCTAATTGAAGCAAATTTATATTTTATTGCTTAATTTTCAACCACACAACAAAATTGGACTGAGAAAGATCAGATATATTAACAAGAAACTCTCACCAAGCAAGTTGGTACTCTCAATGGAATCAATCATTGTCATGACTCATGACCCACTGTAATAAACATTACAGGCTAAGGCATCATTGTCTTTTCTTTAGACTTTTGGGTTGTTGTATCAATTTTGGACATATTTGGTGAATAAAAGATTGAGCATTTTGAGGTCTCATGGGCTCTACTCATCCATAAGAGGAAAGGTACCTTTTAATTCCCGAAAATTGACTTTCAAGAATCATAAATGTCACAAATTGTACAAGTTGCTTACAAATGGATATGCTTCTCTGTTCAAATAACAAACAATTTCAACATTAAAAGCAGCTTTTACTTCCATTCCAATTAGCTACTCTTGCAATGAACAGCAATCTAATGAATATCCATTTCATTTAGCATCACAGATCGGCCGCAAGAGTCACCAGGTGCAGGTCTTGAACCACAAGTACTTTCAAGTTCAGACATACTCTATCCTGTCTCTAACATCAGCTGCAGAGTTACCCACTTTCACCATATCTCCACAGATCCTGCAAGCGATTCGACGTAGAGGGCAATCTCGTGCTTGATGTTGAAACTGCAACGTAATCACGATCTTGTGTTGGAAAAACAATTCGAAACAACACAAACAAGGTTATGAGAGAACAATGACAGTTTCATTTACGCACCATCTGTTCTCTTTTGACTGCAATGCTTCGTGCAACGCGATACTCTTGCTTGGAATCGACTGCGTACAGTTTCTACACTCTATTAGTATCGACATCTGATGAAGATGATACATCCCGTGCCCCAACCTTAATACTGTCGCTGCTTTCTTGAACTAGTACCTAAACCTGGTACTTGACTGTTCCCTTGAACACACGTCGTAATGATTAAGAGATGGGAACAGAACAAAACCGGGTTCACTTTGACACATAGAGACCAATACAAAGAACCTTTTTACCAAAGGCTCCTTGATGAGACAACCCCGTAAAGGAAGATGGTGGTAGTTTGATCTTTGTCAACAATACTATCGCTGCTTTCTTGAACTAGTCCCAAGCGGGCGGGGTTGACCCACAACCCACCACTACCTCTAGAATCCTTTTACAGCCTATTACAATAATCATGTGTATAGCAGCAGTAGCACCAATTCGACTCGATCTAGGCATGTAGTGTAGAATCGAGATTCAACAAAAACACAAGGCTCAACGTATTTCTAAGAACACATATCTTTTTGTTAGAAATCTTTTATACAATCTCTTACGGACTTGCTTGATTCAAATTACACAACTCGACGTAGATCGATTCCTAATCTATCCACTTTGCTTGACTCAACATCGGTTAATCAAATCTCTCAATTCACTCAATTTAAAACTCTAAAACCTTTTTGTTTCTCTTTTGGAATTGTCACGTCAAAAATTCTGAAACCAAACAATCAAACATAGGTAAAAGCCGAGATATATATATTTTCCTATTATTTAATAAATTACTTTCTATGTTTTAGCATCACAAATGATTTAATTTGTGATCTAATAATATTCTTTGATGCTTATTTCGTCAATCAAATATATAAAAATATTTCACATCATTGCGTCTTAACTTTTCTTTTTTTTATTATTCGAAGCGTATGTCATACATCATTCTCCATGTGTATGTACATAAACCAAAACTCTACCACTACAACAATGTATCAAGCTCCAATTTCTTGAACTTACACATATAACTGTATAGGTTCAGACTCAGAACTATCTGATTTTTTGTATATATTTTGAGTATTTCAAATACATTTTCCATAATACATATAATTTTTAAAGTTTTGGGTAAAGTTTCAGATGTTTAAATAGATATTTTGAGTATTCACGTAATATATGTAACGGAAGATGACCGGAAAGACGATACTTGGATGGAAGTATTAGACATAAAGGCTCAAACTTGGAGTCCCTTGCTGAGCCATGGAGCTACTGAGTTTCGTGGCAATTGGTTTCAAACCAATGTGTTTATAGGAATGAATTGCTTACGGTCACCAAGTCGTATGACTTCTTGAGTTGTGTAGTCATTACGATTTGAGGATTCTTAGAAGATGGAATGCTAATTGAAGAATATGATGATATCTTGGTAGAATAACATTAATTGTTTCTTTTGCTTTGAACAACCGTTTGTTCTTTGAAACAATCTCTATTTTGTTTTTGTCATCTGTTAGTATCATGAAACTCTTTTGAGATATCCCATATATAATGCTATTTTGTACACACATTGTTATATTCAAGTTGGAAGCCTATAAACACAAGTGGCATGACCCGCATAAATATTTATGGACTTTATATAAATAGTACAAATCTTTCTTATAAAATTATTTGATAAATCTATATGTTTTGCCGCTTTCACACTAACTCTTACTAGGGCAAGACAAATAAACCGAACTCAAACTGAACCGATCCGATAAAAATGAATTTGAACAGATCTAAACTTGACATAAATACTGAAAATATTAGAAATTTGTGCAGTATTTTATAGAGATTTGTGTAAATTTCATTTATATAGGGCGACACAAATGTAATTAGGTTAAAACTTATGAAACGGTAGACTTCTTTTGTTGTAAGTATACTTAGTAGGTTTTGTTGTAAGTCTACGTAGTAGACTTTTTGGAAGTGTACTATGATAATTTCACTGTTGTTATTTATTGTTTTAATAATTCTAATATATGATCTCACAGTTTTTGAATATCAGATTGAATATTATCATTTTAATTTATTCATACAAAAAATAATAATTAAAATTTATTTTGATTTTTGTAATCTAATTTTTTTCTGGTTTGGTAGACTTACAAATAAGTCTATAGAACTCTTTTTGTTCTTTATTGTTTTTTTTTAAAGTAATATATAAATTTAATTTTTTTTGTTCTTTATTATTTTAATAATTTTAATATGATCTCACATTTTCCATAATAAAATAAAGGGAAAATCTCTTAAATAGACTTTCAAAAGTTTTTATCACAAAAACAGACCTCAAAAACTAAAATGACCAAAATATCATTTTTTATTTTTAAAATTTTAAGTATTTTTTTTAATTTGAAATCATATCCCCACTACTCCTTAACTCTAAACAAAAAAAGTTTAGGAGTACTTAACACAAATGGTTTACATGTATATTTACTTATTTTGATAAAATATTTAAGTCTATTTTGACCATTTTTATTTTTAAGATTTTTATTTGTTACAAAAACTTTTTAGGTCTATCCTAGAGAATTTCTTAAAAAAAAATTTAATTTTAAATTATTTTTTGTACTCTTAAGTTCTAGTAGACTACAAAATACTTCTACTATACATTTAAAATGAGTATACTCTAATATATGTCTACTATATCCTAAACCACAAACTTGAAATTCTAGATGTGTACTTGATAACCAAAAAGTCTTAATTAATCATTGTACCAAATACCAAAATATGTAAAATATTTTTCTGTACATATGATTATTTCTCATGATGATCAATAAATTTAAAATTTCTTCAAAAAAAAATGTAAAATATACACTACTCAAATTAGTATGTAAATTTAGGTTAAAAAATCTATAATTCTAAAATTTAACCTTAAGAATCTAACCATAAAAGACCTTACATGTTAAACATTTTATTGCTAAACCATAAGTGTTGTCCAACATATAATTACCATATATATATATTTAAAAAAAATTGTTCAATTATATTAAATTTAAACCTCATATTGATTATTATATTAATGATTTCTAAAAGGAAATGCCACATTATTATTATTTTTATGAAATATTAAATATATTGATCATAACAAAAGCTAATCTCTAGCCATACTGGACTCTGTTATTACGATGTAAACTACTTCAAAATAGTTTATACAATAAACTTTTTAAGAGGTCGATACCATGTAGACTTTTCTTTATTAAACATAGACTTTTGAATTATAAAACCGTAAAAGAATTTTCTAGTTTTTTATTTTGTCATATAGGATAAATTGTAATTTTGCTATTCTTTTAAATTAGTTTTGCATTTTTGAATATAAGATGTACTTTTGAATTTTTAATCAAGTTTTATGTTATTTTTGGCAAATCTCCCAATGAACAATGATCTTTTGGCTAGTAGATTTCTTAGGATATATAATTAGATAAATTATCTCTTATGTCTTTAAAAAAAGTTATTTACATATATCCAAATTATTAAATGTATTATTAAATGATATAGAATACATATGGATAGAGAGATGGCAACACCAAAAGAAAATAAAATATTTGGTAATATATTTTTATTTCTAATTTTCATTTGAAGTGTTGATACTTAGAATGCTGTTTCATAGGCTTTACCCTAAATGATGTTATTACTTTTCATATGATTCAAATGAAAATTGAAAATAATATATTTTTTTGCAGAAAACTGAGTATTACACAATTTTATATATATGATATTAAATGTTTGGAAAGGATTGGGAAAAGTTGTCCAGAGCATTGTTTGCAGCGCAATTTTTAGCAACTTCTTTCTTGGTAAGATGGTGTCCACTTCCAACCAAATGATCCTCAATTAAGACAAGAACAGTTTTATCAGTTTCCCAACTACTGTCATCAAACTTCAGTTTCAAGTTCTTCTTCTGACACATCTCATTGAGTTTTGTTACTGGATGTTTCTCCAGTTTATCTAATGTTATTATTGGCTCCAACAATGGTTTTATCACCTACATGCATATATTTATATTATTTTCAAACAAAACATTCATGGACAAGTAGAACATATCATTAATTACTCCAACTAGAGAATGAATATAAAAGATATCATGTATGCATGCAGTTACCTTACACACGGTATCGAAGGAGTCGCAGTCGGTGTAGAGAGCTCCAATGGTAGACTCTACAATGTCAGCTAGGGTTTTAGGAGCTTCTAGACGATAAAACGAATGTAGTGGATATTTTTCTATTTCTTTTGAAAATTTTAATATCTGCACACATTTCACATGATTTCATTATATATATATATATATATAGTAGAAACTCTATAAATTAATATTTAATAAATTAAAAACACTATAAATTAATAAACTACACATGTCCCAAACTGAACTAGTGTAAAATATGACACAATTTATAGTTAAGTTTCGAAGGTTCATAGTTATACTAGACAGCTACTATCAAGTTTCGGCAACAAAGAACCTTTGCTTCCTAGATGCATTGTACAGATTAACCATGGCGCATTCTGGAAAGTATTAATGGAAAGCGCATGTTTACCAATATAAAAACACACATCAGGAATATCAATTGATTCGAAGTTATGGATAAAAATCTGAAAATAAATGATTGAATCTGGAAATCGTGAGCAGAAGTTAATTGATTATAATCTACAATAAATAATATAGGGACTAACAGACAAACACAAAGGAAGTCTTCTTTTAAAAAAACACAATGGAAGTCTTAGTTGTCGTGCCTAGAAATGGTTGAAATATCAATTAGTATACATTCGGTCAACCAACCGTAATTAAACATGATCACAAGATATTAAATGGAAAGTAAAAAGCAAATAGGAAGAAAAAAAAAACTAAATATATAAGAAAAGACTTACTTGGTCCTCAAGCAAGGGTTTATTATGACGGAGGCAACGATGCAGGTTATGTTTTACAGCAACTCGGGCAAGTTTCTCTGTATCAACGTTGACCGATCGGAGTCTGGTCAATGAACCAGGTGCAGAATCCTCGTAGAGATGATACAAATATTTGGTTATAAACATATTAAGGACCGTATCTCCTAAGAATTCTAAGCGTTCGTACGAAACGCAGTTTTCATCAAAACTAGCGTCAGTGAACGCTTGCAGCAGCAAGTTCTTGTCTTTGAACTCATACTTCAAGATATTCTCCACGAATTCGATGCCCAGAGGCTGGTTTGTACCAGTTGACTTTGCTGGTTGTGATCCGTTGACGTTTTCTGCGTTGTTGTCGTCAACTCCGAGGTTCAAATTCAGTAATCCCTGGAGGGATTCAGCGTCTGCGTTTGTGTGTTGCGTTCCCATAGAAACAAGAGAGAGGGAGGCAGAAAGAGAGAGAGAGATTGGTCTAATTCTGATTTTGGTGCTTGTTTTTGTTTTTGGTCTTCTTTGGCCGCTTTGATACATCCCCTTTGATATTTATCATAATCTCTTCAAAATTACTAGTCATAATTTGTAAAGAGACAGGTATCATAACGAAATCTAATATAATTTATTATAAGTACATAATAATAGATTCTCACTATCTTTTAATATTTATGATTTTAATACCACAACAAATATGAACTAATAATTGATGTTGACATGGAGTATTTCATTTGCTTAAACATTTATGTACACCAAAATTAAAAGAGATAGAAATTACGAATTTTTTAGCAATTAATTTTTGTTTCATAAAGAGAGTACTATACACCTTTTAAATTCTTAATTAATAAAATATCAGGTTGACAAAAAAAAATACACCTTTTAAATTAAAATTGTAAAATTCAATTATCATTTTTGACTAATTAGCTTTTCAAAGTAGGCATAAGATATTGCTAAGTTTATTTTGGTAACAAATAAAAAAAATAGATACATCTCACTTCTATGAAATAGAAAAAAAATGGAAAATGATATTGAGTTAGTTATCTTGAAATTTAGGGGTGTTAGATCTACATGGAATTTGTTGACTTTAAAAATTGCGAAATTTGTTAAATTTTGAAAAAGGTGGAATTATTTTATATATTACAAAGTTCTATAAAAATAATACTATAATGATTTTAAGAAGCCAAAATATATATTTATTATTCTCAAATTTTTGTTTTGTGAATTAAATGATTAAGAATAAAACTCTCAGTAGAACTAAATTTAATATATTTATTAAAAACATTAAAATCTAAATTTTTGAATAACAAAAGATTTTGTACAGAATTATAAAATCATAATATAATGAGAATGTGAAAATCTATAAATAATAACACTAGACTTGAAATCTTAATTTTAACAATTATTATAATATAATTTCCATTAACATCCATTAATATATTTTGTATCAGGATAATATTATACTTTAAGAATACCTTATCAGCTTATATTAAACATATATGACATGTTTATAAATTTTATTATTCTTTATTTACAATTGAAATTTTGTAAAGCCATATATATATACATCAATCGGAGGAGCCCTCGGCAGAAAGAACATAACAGAACCGTAAAGATAATAAATGCTCCACCCGTCAATCGGGGCTTCAATCCTACTATTGTTCCCACGCGAATATAATTGGTGGTAATAGATTGACTTTCATGCTGAAGCAAGAACATATATTTATATACATATTTTTGTATATATAAACATATTTACAAAAAAAAATTGGATATTTTTCTACCTTGCAATATGAATACGGATTCTTTAAATATACATCTTTAAAAGTTGACTTTGACTGAGTAATTGTGGAGTTGTCTGTCCTTAGCAATAACATTGATCGCTCATTGACTAAAGAACAAAGAAATAAATTATTTCATTATAATGCGTCTATAGCTGTTTATATGACTTCCATCTGCATTTTTCCAAAACATATAATCTCATACATCAATTTCAAATCACAGTACAAATAATTATTTAGCCATCCTCTCAAGAACTATATCTATAGAACCAGTTTCTTACACAACATATTGTCAACTCCTTTTAAGAGCTACCAATAAAAAAAGAGATCAGAAACAACAAATAATTGAGCAAACCCTGATTCCAGAAACCTGAAAAAAATAAATGTTAAGAAGTATTCACTGATGACACTGCCCCCTCTTTGATCATCTCATTCCACTTCGGTTTCTCCCTTTCAAGGACCGATCCTGATGTTTCTAATGGTTTCATACAACTCTGCAGGATCTTTTGAAAGTGTTCAACTAACAGAAGTTTTCCCAGTGGCAAGTGCAACCAAAGATGAAAATCTTGAGACCAGCACTGCCTCGTTGCTTACGGATTTGGAAGCCGCCAAATCTTCCAAAAGCTTCCATGTTGCTTCTCTTTTAGCTACAACCTCAGTCTTATTCGCTTCATCTTCTCGGAACTTTGCTAAGCATTCATCAAACAAAGCCTGATCTGTCTCTGCTAATACCTTTCTCACATTCAAAGTCAGACTCTGAACCGCTTGGTTCCAATGTCCCCGCGTGTTCCTCTCCATAGCCGGGAACACAATCGGCATTATAACTTTATGGTTTTGAGTAATCAGGTTTCTTATGTGATCATTGTTCCACAGAAACAAAGCTCTTTCAGCCACCTAACAAAAGAAGAAGAAGCAACTCTGAATCAACACAACAACAGTGTTATTACATAATAACAAAACCAAGAATCCAACCTGAAAATGCGAACTGTTGATGCATCTTGCGATTTGACGGAACAAAGGAACCATACATCTCTGAAACTCAGCCGCTTGAGTTGCTTCCAAAACCTCTTCCAACTCACCAAGAAACATAACTTCCTTTGAACTATTAGTCACAGGCCAATACTTTAGAAGCCCTCTAATGACCGTATCAGCAAGCTTAAAGTCTTTCTCCACAAACTGAACAATGCAATAACAAAGCTGCTGATGATAAGCCGCAGCACATTTAGGCCTATGCAACGGTATCAAAGCCCTGACAAGGAAGAGCTTATGCTCTTCTTTCAACGGCAAGGCGAAACCGTTGATTATACTTCCAAGAATCTCAAGCAACTCCGCAATACCGTTATGCTTCTCCGTCTCAAACATGAATCTGTAGAAGATATTGTTGATAGCTTTCCTGATAAAAGGACGATGCACCATGAACTTCCCGTAGATTCGATGGAGTATGGTCTTTAAATACTCCCTCTCTCTCTGATCCTCAGAGTCGAACAATTCCAAGAGTTTCAATACAAAGGAATGGTCGATATACCGCTTCGCAAGCTTGGCGTCAGTCATGGGCGAGGCCACGAATCTAAGGAGAAGCTCGTAGACGACTTGAAGATGAGGCCAAGCTGGCTCTAAGGCAGGCTCCTCATCATCACCACCATCAAACGTTTCCATCATCTTGCTTTCGTGGTTCACGGAAGTAAACGTCCTGAAGAGGTTAACCACAGCGAGTTTCGCAATCTCTTGCATTGCTGCGTCTGTGAACTTTGTGGAGACCGTGGCGATGTAGTCTACTAGCTCAAGTAAAGTCTGTCTTTTAATCTCTTTCTCTCTGAGATTCTTGGAAGAGTCAGTGAAGTCGAACACGACGCAGCATATGGTTAGTTTCTTGATGAAGAGGTTTGGTTTCTCTGAGGTGGGAACTTCCCTGAAGGTGGGTAAGGCTTCGTAAGCTCCATTGTTGGCTCTGTTTGAGGAAGGAGCAATGGTGCCGTTTGAGTTTGATGTTGATGACTTCGTTTTAGTGTTAACACCACCTTCAAGGTTTGGATGGGATGATTTGGAAGGTTTTTTGGGTAATTTCCCAAATATTTGCTTCATCATGTCTATAAGATAACCCTAATTGGATTGACGAAACCCTAAGCAACAAGGAAGCAAAAGCCCTAAGTGATCTTCTTGATTTCTGCTTCTAATTGAGAAACCCTAATCATTCAAAACGGACCTGCATGGATATATGAATCACGAAATTCAAAAACTGGAAGCAGAAACTAGAAGATTCAATTGAGGATTAAGTTAGGAAAGATATAGAGAAAGAACAGCTTACAATTAGCAGAAGGGTTGAGAGAGAGAGATCTGGGAACTCAAACCCTAAGAAATGGGAGCTTCAAGGGATCTTGTGATAAACCCTGTAAAAAGACAACTCCTTTTTTCTTTCTCCTAAACTGAATCAAGCAAAGAGAGAGAGAAGGAAGGAGAAAGAAGAAAAGGCAACGAAGCACAGCAGCTAATAAGAGAAAAGAATACAGAACAGAGTATGAAGATTTTAAGGTTGTAATGAAAACAAAATTATACTAATTGTCTATCTCTCTCTCGACTCTTGCTATCTCCTTCCTTGTGTAGATTTTTTTGCACTGTAAATCCCTGGCTTCCTTCGGATTTCGAATTACAGACTATGAATAGAGAACAATGAAAATGAAAACCAGGGCATCGACAGATTGGCAGGTATGTCATTTTACATTTTTGTCCTTGATTTAAGGGACTCGTATCACTCTGTATGTGGAGTTTAAGCAGTGGTCAATTTCGTAAATTCCACGCGTTCCAAAACTTATTTTTAATGTTACCAATTTTCTTGAATAAAATATTTTCTAAAATAATTATTCTGTCCGAAAGATACGGTAGTTGAGTCGTTAGTTAGAAGCCGAGTCAAATTAGATTTTGCATCTGAAGTGGACGCGAAGATGAATCTAAAAGAAACATTTGTTGATTCCTTTAGATTATCCTGAGTCGTAGCATTGACCAAATAGTTTAGTCATTACTCATTGATAAGGTTCTCAACACTGGCAACAAAATAAAAACGCGATGAGATCTTAAAAAAGATTTCAATGCAGCGTTAACTCCTCAGTTTCTACTTACAAAATAAATGGGTTGCACACGAGCAAAGTGACGTAGATGTACAAGAGTACTTCGTGATCCTTGTCAGCTGGTAGAGAACGAGATAGGATAATTTGTTTTTATTATCTGCTCTGTAAAAATAAAAATCTGAAATTTAGTGTAAAACAACAATATTTCATTAAAGATAAAATTTGTTTTAAAAAAATTTAATAACTAGTTTTTTGAGTAAAAATATTGTACACTTTCATAAAAAATTATGTAATTTTATATGTTATTTTTTGTATACACAAATACATATATCAGATTAGAGCGGATATCTATCTTTTTCTCTCTTTAGTATTTGTGATTATTATGTTTTTAATGGATATTGGATATTAGTATTTGTTTTGATCGTAAAATTACAGATATCTAAATTTTTGGATCGAAATGAATCAAATAAAAATTTGTGGATATTTTTCCCACACTTATGATGCAAGTGACTGCTGAATTCAGGGACAAGAAACAGAGCACATAAAAAAGTTCAGGATCAATACCAACGTCTGAAAAATCATGGCAAGGACCAAAAGAGTGTTGTGTAACAGAAGTTAAATACAACAATATAGCTAGTATCTTTGATTGATTCAGTGATATGTGAATGGATCGTTCGAGACAGCAGATAAACTTATCTTTGTTGGGAGCAATCAACTTGGTCGACTGAGAACAAATAGCATAACATTATACTAGAGTTTAACCCGCACATCCGTGCGGGTATATTTTCCATTTTATAAATATATAACAACAAATTTTAACTATATGATTTATATTTTAGTTTTAATTATAATTATATGTAATAATTAAATAACGAAATAATTATTTTATAAAATAATTATTTCAGATTTTTGGTAAGATCTTGTTGATTTTTTTCAACAGATTTTGTTATATTTAAATTTACTTATTATTAATATCCTTATTAATTATTAGGATATATTAATTATTAAGATATTTTGAAAATAATAAATATTTAACTGGTTAATGTAACAATTAAATATGTCAAATTAAATATTTAATGACATGGTCCAACATAACTTCTAAATAGTAGATAATTTGGTACTTCTCTTTTAATGGAGAAGATGGATCTAAGACAATACAAATAACATTAGATTCTTATAGCATTACAAAATATATAGTAACATAACATTTTGAATAGGTTTACAAAATCAAATCGCCACAATGTGATTCTTGTACCTTCATACTAAGTGCTTAGCTTACTTTATGTACTCAGCAAAAACATACACTTTAATAATTGTTCCTTACAAGAGGGTTTTTATTTATTGCAGTAATTGGTACTGTTCAACATAAACATTCATATAGTGCAGCTTACTCCGAACCAGCAACCTCAGATGGAATATAACCACTGTACTACTCAGCAGAGTTATCCACTTCAGTGTCTTGTGAGATTTGAATATCAGATCCACCTGGGAACATAAGTATAAACCTTCGAAGTACTGTAGTCTCTGTCTTCATTGACCACCTTGAAACCATAGGTACATATTAAAAATATATGTAAATGAAACTTTTGAACGCATACATTAAAAATTAACTACCAGTCAATAGGTGATATGATTGAACCTGTATCTACACAAATGATGGATGAAACTGGCCATAAGAAGCTTAGCGAAGTCAGCTCCTAAACATAGTCTAGAACCAGCTCCAAAAGGAATGTACGTCTTGGAGACGATTGCTGTCAAGTCTTTTTCCTTGAAAAATTAAAATAGTTTAATAAACGCATAAAACCGTGGAACTATGAGTAAATAAATACGTAAAGGATGGCAAGAAAAAAATGAAAAATCACCTTCCACCGCCATGGATTAAATGCTAAAGGGTCATCATATGTTTCTGGATTGAAATGGACACTAGGAAAGCCCATGAAGATCCAACCAGCTGGAATTGTATAATCACCAAATTGGAACTCATGATCAATTATTCTAAGCACTGTCGGCGCCGTGCTTGTGATCCTAAGTGACTCATTTATCACCTGAAACAAAACATCATGTTTGTCTAAAAACTAAGATACTTTATGTTAAAGTTCTTAGAATTTTCAATCAAAACCCTATGTGCTGACCATCTGCGTGAAAGTCATTGATTTGTAGTCTTCCCATGTTAGACCGGCCTTCTTCTCCTTCTCACTCTTACCTCGGACAATTTGTTCATGCTCTTTCTTTAATTCTTGCATGACTTTAGGGTTGTCGCTTATGAGCTTTACTGTAGCAGTAAGGACGCTTGGTGTTGCTTCGTTAGCAATCAAAAAGAAACTAAATATGAACTCGATTGCACTCTCTACGCTTATCATTTCCTCTCCTCCTTCCACTTCGCCAAGTAGCATCTTGAAAAACTCTCCAACCTCTTCTCCTGAAGCTCTTTTCTTCAACACCGTCTCCTTTAATATTCTAATCATCTCCTTTTTCGCCTGTTTAAGGACACCATCACCCCTAGTTATCTTTCTCTTAATCTTATATAGAGCTGCTTTAAGGGTATATATCTAGATGAATAAAAGGTCCATACCTTCATCATTCGATAGATGCCATTACCAGGAATGTTAATCCAGGAGATTCGAAACCACCCTTTTGGAAAATGGCTCCAACAGAGTGTGAGTTCTTTTGCCGCGTCTGGTTCCATTTCGCCCATAACTTTCTTGGCGAGACATTCAATTAAGATCTGATAAAGTTTGATGAAATGATCCACTCCTAATTAAGTAATCTAGTTGATTCGTATTGTGACAACTAACAAGAGCATAGCCGTGTCTAAGTTAAAAGAAATCTTATACACAATTAAAGAAAACAGTCTTGTCATTTTGAAGCTATCAATACATTAAAAAATAATTTGCTTCTATTTTGAAGCGAACGTCAAAAGATTAGAATTTTACACCACCTACAATAGAGAATTAATGGATTTCCATAAGGTACAAGTTTTATCCCGTACAGAACCGGGCCTGAAGTCATTAGGCTACAACATTTTAATGGGGGCACGCACGCACTTTATAAAACCCCCCAATTCTAAAAACAAATTGGTCAAAAATGAACTTATATGTTCCTGAATCAGTTAATATGGTGATAACTACCATTCACGTGACTATCGCATTTTCTTCCGTTTTGATCGCATTGCTTATGTTAAAAGAATGAAGTTTTGCATATAATTTTACATGGCCACAAGAGCAACACCTTATGTATTGGACTTTTGTTTGTTTGTCAATGGTCAAAATACTTAAAACAGCAACGCCATATGTATTAGACTTTTGTTTTGTTTGTTTGCAAGTTGGACTGTTACTGGCTACTAAAATACATAATATAGTCAATTATTATGGTATAAAATTTTAACCTTAAATAATAGTTTTGTGTATAAGCTTTTTATTTAGAAAATACTATCAATTAATTAGTAAATATCTATTATATTAAAAGAGAAGTCATGACTCACTTCATGTGTGATATTTTAGTTTGGACCATCTTTAGAGTTTTATAAAATTTTACATAACATTATAATATCTTTTCATATCTTTAATTTTTGTTTGAAATACAAATAAATAGTTTTAAGAAAATTCTAACAAAATCTTTTAAAAATCTTTTAGAATCTTTTTCAAGATATAGTTTCAAAAATTATTTAATTAAAATTTTAATTATCATAAAATTTAATTAAAATTTTAATTCATTTTTCATTTATAAACAAAAAATTAAAATTATGTAAAATACTTTTAATAATATCCCAAAATTTTGTTTATGTATTATGTAGGTCCAACTTAATTAATTTTTACATAGATTTCAAATTTAAAAATAAAACAAAATATATAAATTAGTAATCTTAATAATAATATTTTTAAAAATATTACAAAATAAAAATTTATAAATTTTATATTAATAATTATATAAGTCACATAAAATGATTATGAAATTGGATAGCATAAACAATCAAATTATACTTATTTATTGATAAATTTTATTATATAATTTTAAATATTTTCGTATTACAATACCCGCACGGTTGTGCGGGTCGAAATCTAGTTTTTATTTTAAATAAGCTTTCAAGTCCGGTTCTGAACCTGTCACCAGTATTCAAAGTGTGAAAATCGTATATGGTTGGTTGATAAGAAAACTTAAATACATTTCTTGCAACAATTTTTTTTGTTTCGTTATATGTTTATGATCAAAATTTGTTGTACTATTTGTGTGAAGTTTGACGGTATGAAAACGAGGCCGACATTGAATTGCAAATACAAAAGGGTTAAATAGGCGCTTCACATATACAGTTAAATTTATATAAATTAATAATGTCGGGATTTTGAAATTTTATTAATTTATAGATATATTAATTTATCAAAGTTTCTTTATTTAGATTTTTTATTTTAAGATATTTTTATACTAAAATAAGAAAAATATTTTATTTTAGTGTATAGATATTTATTATCATTTTTTAAAATTTAAAATTTATATTAAATATCTTATATTATTTGGTGTATATAATCTATATTCCACAGAATTTAAATATGGTTTTAAATACAATATTACTAAATCTCATCAACAATATATTAAGTGTCAAGAAAATATAAAGATAATTCTATTGTAAATATAAAACAAACAATATAATAATAAATTTTTACTTATATAAAATATGTATAAATATAAATTATTAATTTATAACTTTAATGAGACCATATATTTACATATAATTTTCTAAAAAAATATTATCTTATTATTTTATTGATTTGTGTTATATTCTACTGTTCTACTGTACTAATTTATTTTTTCTAAGAGCATCTCCAAAAGACACTCTATAACTTCAAATATGAAGTTTTTGCCTCTCCAAAAAGGAACTCTAAAACTTCAAATTTGAAGTTTTGAGTGGTGAAACTTCAAATATAGAGTGTCACTATTCAAAACTTCAAATTTGAAGTTTCATATTTTATTTACATTTTGGTCCTTACAATTACACATCATATTTATATTAATCTTAAATATTTATTATTTATCATTTTAATCCTTAAAATTATTATTTCATAAATAATTCAAAATTATTTTTATAAATTTAAATTTTCTATTTAAAAAAAAAGAATCAAAATAATCTTTAAAGTATTTAAAAACTAGAAGTAGACAGCAACAATATTACATGATATAATGTGGTAATTTGTTTGTACTTTAATATTTGATTACATATTTCTATTTATAATTTTATATTTTAGCGTAACATTTTATCAAATGATATTTCTATAATATTTTTATATATGATAGTTATTTATAAAAATTTATGAATTTAAATTAGTTATGACAAATATAAGGACCATTATATAAAATACAAATAGTTTTAAAGTTAGGTTTGAAGTTTTGTTTTTGGAGTATAACACCTTCAAACTTCAAATATAGAGTTTTGCAAACTCTATAATAGAGATTCTTTTTGGAGATGCTCTAAATGCACACTAGGCAGGTCGCTAAATTGGAAAAATATTTTTTTACCTTGCTTACTGTTTCCTTGACGTCAAGACTGCCGTTTCTAGCTCCTTCCTCCATATGTGTGCGAGTCAAGATATCGATATCTTGCATCATTCTCAATTTCAAACCTTGTGAACCTAACAACTGGGTTATCACGCTGCGGACATGTTTGTGAGACTCTTTACTCTGTACGAGCAAGTTATTTTCCCCGAGTAACCGCGCTAAGCTCTTCGGCAAGCCAGGGGCATGATTCGTCTTTGCCATCTCTATGTTCAATCCACTATCAGTCGAGATTATGACTTTGGCTCCAAACAAGCTTGTCCGAAAAACTGGTCCATATCTATTTTTTCCAGTAAAAAAAAAGGGAAAATTCAGACAACTGATTATGTAAGAATCAAATCTCTTCAAATATAATTTTCTCATAAAATATCCTACTCCACAACCCTATACTGACAATATGAAATTAAACAACCTGTGGGTTTTCTCCTTCACGAATGTCGGTAACTGAATAGCATCATGAGGTTTCATAAACTCGAAGGTCTTTCCGATGATTGGAAAGCCCATCGACCCTGGAGGAAGCTTTCCTTTACACTTTGGATTGCTCCACTGATAGAACCAATGACAAAGCTTCACCACTATGAGTGAAAGTATCACAGTCCATAACTCATAAACCTCTACCATGTTGATTAACTTATCTCTTTCAATAGTTTGGATGTGGGTTTTAGTGTTTTAGGGCTGCATATTTATCTGAGGGAGGAAAGAGTTCTCTATATACTTATACTGTGCTCTCTGGTTGAATTGTAGATATATTAAAAAAAATGAAGTTATTAAAAATCCCTATGTTTCTAACATATAATGTCGCCTCAAAAACATACTCCCTCCGTTTCGAATTAGATGTCATTTTAGAGGAAAAAATTCATTTCAAAATAAGTATCGTTTTAGAGTTTCGAGACAAAATTTATTATGTTTATATGATATTCTATTTATCTATTGGTTGAAAAGTGGTTAGGTGTATTGATAATTGTGTTTTTATATTGAAAATATGTAAAATTAAATGTTTCCTTAATCTGTGTGTAAAAACCTAGAATGACAAATAATTTGAAACGGAGGGAGTATATGTTTACATTTTCATGCAAAATTTATTTAGTTAATAATTACAAACTTCCAAAAGTAATTACACCAATTCAAATACTCTATTAGTTTCAAATACTACTATTAATTTAAATAGTACTATTAGTTTTAAATATAAGAAAATAATTAATTACAGAAAATCATGTATTTATAATCAACTTTTAATATATTTTTTTAATGTGTGGAACACAGAAATATGTATCTTTTAGAAAAATATGGAATAATTCTGTGTTTGTAGTAAAGGTTAATATCAAAGCTGGTTCATATTTGTTCAATCTTGGAAAAATGGCCTAACTTCCTTTAATTCTTAAATACAACTGTTGAGCTAAACCTTCAAAAGTCAGAGTTTCATTGAAAATATCCAAACTAAGTAAACTTGAGTACTAAACTAACCAATCTAATATATAAAAATGATAGAGTAAAGATCGAACAAACAAGAATATAGTAGTTTTATTGATGAAAAGAACAATAATTCAAGCAATTGCGCTTTTAAAAATCATGATGCTAAAGAAAATATCATGCTATTAAAACCTTAACTAGTTAAATAAATTAAAGGTTGTTTCACTGTTCAGGCTATATGTTCTTTATAAATCTAGAGCTGGTCCTGATGAGCGGATTGGTGAGCAAGGCCAAGACATGTAATTCCTTAGAAATTATAGCATCGGCATTGATAGCCATGTTCACCCATTGCATTATCCAGCTCCACTCAATGCGTAAAAATGTATAACATGTATTTTTAATAATTGTTTAGAAGAAAACATTAATTTTTTTCTTTGAAACGGAAAGAGTGGTATCTAGATGGACGACCAGACTGGGAGCTAGTCTGCACAAGATAACCAAGTAGTATTAAGGTTCAAGACTTGGATCATGACTAACTTTGATTTTGGTATAGAGAAGGTCGATCATGGTATATATTTTAATAGCTGGGAAATACAGACTGATGGAAATCAAGTCAAAACATACGAACAAATGAAGATGAGTATATAGACAAACACACTAAAGATTTTTTTTTTAAAATAAGAAGATGTGTGGCTTAAAAGTGTTAAGAGGAATTTGGTTTAAGGTAGATTGAGCCAAGGTTTGGATGTGTATGTAAATTGCTGAAAGAGATCACGGGTCGTCTTTTGGATTAGAAAAGTACATATTACAAATTTGAAAGGATGTAAGATCAAGTGATACTTGGAAGAAGATAATATTTTCCTGGACCTCCTGGTCTTAGGCATGGGGATGGATAGGTACGAATTTTGGCATAGAGCGTCAACATTATGTGCCTCGGTCCTAATTTTTTATTTTTTTTTTTAAAAAGCAACAATAAGGAAACTGAGAAGAAAAAGATACTTCTAGTGAGAAATTGACATAAAACATAATTGATGGAATACTCATTGCACCTCGTACAAATTTATCTACCAATATATTTTGTGTTCTTGAAATATGTCTGATATTGAAAATACGGAAGAAAGTCATACTGCATTAAAATTCTTTGATATGTGTAGCAAGAATTGGCCATTCTATAGATACTGGCACCATTTTTACCAATAAAGAACAATTCGTTAGGAACACTTCATCTGTAAACTGGAAGATCATACATTCCATAACTTAAATCAGAACTTTACATTCAGCTAAATGTAAAGAGGAAAGACTTCATCCCGTGAACCTATCTTGCTAGTAGATTAACCCTGAAAACCCTGTAAAAAGAGAGCTCCTTATTTCTTTCTCCTAAACTGAATCGAGCAAAGCGAGAGAGAGAAGGAAGGAGAAAGAAGAAAAAGGCAACGAAGCACAGCAGCTAATAAGAGAGATGAATCTGAGAAGATACAGAACAGAGTATGATGATTTTAAGGTTGTAATGAAAACAAAATTAATAATAATTGTCTCCCTCTCGACTCTTGCTATCTCTCTAGATTTTTTTGCACTGTAAATCCCTGGCTACCTTCGGATTTCGAATAAAGCTAACATTTCTCCATGACGACCGACTTAGCCTACAAGCCTGCTAGGAGGGACTCCTAAGGTTACTAACTGGTACTTTATGGCGATGGTAGTAATTATCTATCTATAAGTTAATGGAGTTGGATGTATGCATAGAGATTATAAAGAGAAAGTGATGAAGGAATTTCTCAATGTTGTGAAGATATTCATGTATACTGATTACGTAAGGAAAGTAAGATGGTCTATCTTTGTCACACGTGCAAGAATATAAAATGTTTCCTTAGTGACACATTAAAAAGCAGTGAGATATTCAGTTTTTTAGGCCAATCATTCTGTTAGACGTCTTGCATCGGGAAGCTTGTTCCCCTTTCTTTAGTAGATCTTTAAAAAAGATTTCAATGTAGCCTTAACTCCTCAGTTTCTACTTACAAAATAAATGGGTTGCACACGAGCAAAGTGACGTAGATGTACAAGAGTACTCGTGATCCTTCTCAGCTGGTAGAGAACAAGATAAGAGAATGTTTCATGATTAGTTCTGCTATTGTTTGTAGGTCTTAAAGCTTTTGAAGGTCTTTGTGATACACCATGCTTTGTATGGAACAACACGTTTATGCTTTGTGTTTGCTTCACAACACGTTTATGATATATGGTGTTTGGACATCATGTAAATTTTTAATTTAACCGGATATATTATCTGCTCTGTAAAATAAAAATATGAAATTTAGTGTAAAACAACAATATTTCATTAAAGATAAAATTTGTTTTAATTTTTTTTAATAACTGGTTTATTGAGTAAAAATATTGTAAAACTTTCATAAAAAAATTATGTAATGATCTATCTTTTTTTTTTAGTATTTGTGATTTATTCTGTTTTTAATGAATATTGGATATTAGTATTTGTTTTGATCGTAAAATTATATATATCTAAATTTTTGGATCGAAATGAATCAAATAAAAATTTGTGGATATTTTCCGGCCCACCCTTATGATGCAAGTGAATGAATTCAGGGACAAGAAACAGAGCACTTAAAAGGTTCAGGATCAATGCCAACGTCTGAAAAATCATGGCAAGGACCAAAAGAGTGTTGTGTAACAGAAGTTAAATACAACAATGTTGCTAGTATCTTTCAATGATTCAGTGATATGTGAATGTATCGTTCGAGACAGCAGAGAAACTTATCTTTGTTGGGAGCAATCAACTTGGTCGACTGAGAACAAATAGCATAACGTTATATGGAGAATCTAATACAATACAAATAACATTTTGAATAGGTTTACAAAATCAAATCGCCACAATGTGATTCTTGTACCTTCCTACTAAGTGCTTAGCTTACTTTATGTATTCAACAGAAACATACACTTTAATCATTGTCTCTTACAAGGTGGTTTTTATTTATTGCAGTAATTGGTACTGTTCAACATAAACATTCATATAGTGCAGCTTACTCCGAACCAGCAACTTCGGATGGAATATAACCACTGTACTACCCAGCAGAGTTATCCACTTCAGTGTCTTGTGAGATTTGAATATCAGATCCACCAGGGAACATAAGTATAAACCTTCGAAGTACTGTAGTCTCTGTCTTCATTGACCACCTTGAAACCATAGGTACATATTAAAAAATATATGTAAATAAAACTTTTGAACGCATACATTAAAAATTAACTTGAACCAGTCATTAGGTGATATGAATGAACCTGTATCTACACAAATGATGGATGAAACTGGCCATAAGAAGCTTAGCGAAGTCAGCTCCTAAACATAGTCTAGAACCAGCTCCAAAAGGAATGTACGTCTTGGAGACGATTGCTGTTAAGTCTTTTTCCTGAAAATTAAAATAGTTTAGTAAACGCATGAAATGATATAAAATTAAAATAGTTTAGTAAATCACCTTCCACCGCCATGGATTAAATGCTAAAGGGTCATCATATTTTTCTGGATTGAAATGGACACTAGGAAAGCCCATGAAAATCCAACCAGCTGGAATTGTATAATCACCAAATTGGAACTCATGATCAATTATTCTAAGCACTGTCGGCGCCGTGCTTGTGATCCTAAGTGATTCATTTATCACCTGAAACAAAACATCATGTTTGTCTAAACTAAGATACTTTATGTTAAAGTTCATAGAATTTTCAGTCAAAACACTAAAGATAACAATAAATGCTGACCATCTGCGTGAAAGTCATTGATTTGTAGTCTTCCCATGTTAGACCGGCCTTCTTCTCCTTCTCACTCTTATCCCGGACAATTTGTTCATGCTCTCTCTTTAATTCTTGCATGACTTTAGGGTTGTCGCTTATGAGCTTTACTGTAGCAGTAAGGACGCTTGGTGTTGCTTCGTTAGCAATCAAAAAGAAACTAAATATGAACTCGATTGCACTCTCTACGCTTATCATTTCCTCTCCTCCTTCCACTTCGCCAAGTAGCATCTTGAAAAACTCTCCAACCTCTTCTCCTGAAGCTCTTTTCTTCAACACCGTCTCCTTTAATATTCTAATCATCTCCTTTTTCGCCTGTTTAAGGACACCATCACCCCTAATTATCTTTCTCTTAATCTTATATAGAGCTGCTTTAAGGGTATGTATATTGATAAATAAAAGGTGCATACCTTCATCATTCG